GGACGGTCGGCAACGCTTAACGGTAAATTGACAGGCTTTTTTTCGAGCTGAACTGGATATGGTATCTCGCTTTGTGAGAAAAGGTGATCACTGACAAAATTACCTATACCTTACATGTAATGAAGAACGCATTTAAAAGGTATGTATTCCCTGTGTTTCCCACATGCCCTGGTCCCCTATATATAATGCGTCCACAAATAAAGGGGAGTCCGAGTCGACATTGGCCAAGGCTCTACCCAGTTTAGCCGTGGCGACTCTTGACTCGGGCTTACATTGCATTACCCTCAGCAAGAGTCGTGGAAAGATCCATTGGCAGAACTGCACATTTCCCGTTGGCTGCCCGATGCTCCGTTTTTGACCCGGTTTTTTGCTGTCCCGGGCTTCCCTACAATATAACTCCACAATTGGCCGGGTTGCCGATGTTTAGATCAGCCTAAATATTCCACAGCGCGACAGAAAAGTACTAAAATAGCTAGTCGGCACAAGGTGGCCGCCATCTTGGAAATAGTCGGGAATGTCCGCTACCGCCGTCGGGAACGCTCGGTAGCGTCACGATTACCGAAGCCCGACCGAAAGCGCTCCGATCATTTCCGGAAAGCCTACCGAACGTTCCCGACGGCGGTAGCGGACATTCCCGACTATTTCCAAGATGGCCGCCACCTTGTGCCGACTAGCTATTTTAGTACTTTTCTGTCGCGCTGTGGAATATTTAGGCTGATCTAAACATCGGCAACCCGGCCAATTGTGGAGTTATATTGTAGGGAAGCCCGGGACAGCAAAAAACCGGGTCAAAAACGGAGCATCGGGCAGCCAACGGGAAATGTGCAGTTCTGCCAATGGATCTTTCCACGACTCTTGTCTGAGGGTAATGCAAAAAAATATGTAAGCCCGAATCAAGAGTCGCCACGGCTACCACAAAGCATGCTGTGGTGGATTGACATAACATACCGTGGTCCATGTCGTCCAGTGATGGGACATAACAGAACACAGGCAACACCCGCAGACACAAACAGAAGCACAGCTGACCTGAGACATGTACCAAAGAAAAAAAACAGTTACATATACAGCATAACGACAGATTTTTCCCAATAAATCACATAAGATGAGTGTCATATTGACACCAATAAAAAATGTCCGCACTAGCTTATATATACCTTCCTTTGTGATTATACATGTTATGTACACGACAGAACATAGTACACACGGGGTTTCTAATACCTGCCGCAGTAGAAGAGCCCAACAGCAATTCCAGCATCGGCCAAGAACAGGCGATAGAGGCCCTCGTTCTTCTTGCGGACTTCATAAGGGACAACATTGGCACAGCAAATCATAAGCAGGGACAGCAGCTGTCCGGCCACAAGGTCATTCACAAACATGCTGTTTCAGGACTTAGATTTTGTCCAGTGTATATTGTCGCACAACTGTCATGAGAAGGTTTTTGCAAAACTGCTGTATTCATATATGCATGCAAAAATGGTGGCCGGATGATATCTAATGGATTGACAAACAAAACTCCCACGTTTTCAGTAAACAAGTTATAGCACACGTTTTTATGATGTTTGCTGCGTATGTCAGGCTTGTCTTTTGTATTTTTGATTGATTGAAAACATTAGGCACTTTGGCCCTTAAATCAAAGTTTTAGACTGTACTCGTATGTAGATCACCGTGCACGACAAATTTGAACCAAGTCTCATTAGCATGACCTACGTATATGTATACTATACAAAGTCAGTCAGGGACAATACTAAAGCCTTAGTGTACCGCATGCAGGCTAAAGAAACACTGCACGCATAGGACTGAAAATGCAGTCAAAGCAAATTAGAGCATGACAGTACAAAGCTAATTAGGACATGACAATTCATTCGAACGTTGGTTGCCTCTATGGTTGTCAGGTACATTCTTCAACCAAGCCAATGTAATTGACCAATTTCTAATATGTTTCCAGCAATTAAACCCATAGAGTTTGGTAGAGACTTTTCCGAAAGATAATTGGCGTTAGAAAGTTGTCTCTTCGTCTACTTGTGTTACTCAAAAGTGTGACTCGTCGGCCATGGGAAACTCTGAGACTTATAATTAAGTAATGAAAAAATTGCAAAGCAGAAGATTGAACAAAACTGTTCAAAAAGATTATCAAAAAAGAATGGCATGTAACCAAGCAGGTTAGACTTGCGTGTCACGTGCTTGTCATGTGTTTATGACGCATTAAGTCCCCCATAACCTGCTTGACCTGTTCATTCGAAGCTGAACCAGGCAAAAAGACAGTCGCAAGATCGGAAGAGCAGCTGGGTGGAGACAAGCCGCCAAGACAACATTGAGCAAGAACAGCGTCTGAAAAAAGGTGAGAAGAAATCTCCAAGAAAATCGTATTGCTCTATCTTATTCGATTTTCTACTCTATCACTTTGAACAGTTTTGTGGATGTGTGAAGTCGCTGACTACACTCCTAGCCTCCCAACAAGCGAGGAAATATCAGCTGGATATTTCAACCTCTGTAAGGTTCGGCCCAAGTCCAGGAACGTCCGTCCTTCGTTCGCAGCATAGCAAACGCGCTGACCTACCAAAGTTACGTCTGAGCATGAGGACGAGATATCCTTGATCTGAGAAAAGCACGGAAAGCGCGCTCGCCCGTGAAATCCCTTGGAAGGAACGAAATAGCACAGATGCACTGGGTCTGCAAAACTGTCACTGACGTTCAGTACGTTTGAGAATGCACTGACCGCCGCGACGGCGCAGCAGCAATCAAGGCGAGCAGAAACCTGGTTTTTTTTACATAAAACTTGCAGACTGTTATAATATTGGATGAGAAATTGTTGTGACATGTACATGTCGTCGCGAAAGATGGGCGCGGCCTAAAACTGGTTAGACTCACTGGATAAAGGGATTTTCTTTCACATTACCTTTACCTAGGTCCGCCCTCATGTCTGAGGGTAGGGGACTATGGTGGCATTCTTGAAAACCAGATGCTGGCATATCTTGCTTACGTTTCGGTGACTGCTTCCAACCTGCCGCAAACTTTGGTTTAGTAGAAGTCGGGTAAAGTCATTATGGTGGGGTAGTGGTGAAGATAGTTGTACTGAAGACAAACTTGATGTCGCACAAGGCAAGTCTTTTTGCCGTGCGACTCGTTAACATGATAACAACCCCAGGACGTTCATTATTCAGACAAGATAAAATCTCAAAACGCAATTATTTCAACTGGGTGTACACATTCGTTCTTTGTCTCTAGAATTAAAAATTTTTCCACCCTTTTGGTAATTTGAAACCAAACGTTTCGTTCAACCGGTTATGTTAAATTTTTGCTATTCAATCGACTCGTTACCATAGCAACAGCCCGAGGCAAGTAATTTCACAATGATTACAAAATATACTTAGAACGTAAATATCTCACTTCTCAATGGACCCATTCTTCTTTTGGTTTTTCTAGGTCAATTAGAAAAAAAGAGGGTTGCAAAGGATGATGAACAGTGTTGATTTAGCATAGTAGTCAATTTTTACATGTAGGTACATTACTATTCCATCAACTTTGCTGCACAAAAGCTGTTACCTGTTGAAGTAAACTCTCTTTAAACGGTTAGAAATGAATGTGGTTTCAGGAAAGCCATCGCCATGCATCTGTTCGTGCAAAGCAAGCGAAACTACGGCCTTCTGGGGATAACAGGAGAGGAGACCATCCGAACGATCAAGGAGCGAGTCTTCAAGGTGGAGGGTCTGCCCGTGGATCAACAGATCCTGTACTACTCGGGGAAACCGCTAGAGGACGACGCCACGCTGATTGGCTCCGGGATACCGGATATGGGGACTCTGGACGTCAATGTGCGCACGCGTGGAGGTGGATTTCTGATCCCTTTTTGGGGGGGGGGGTGTATGTAAATTGTTGGTATTGGCGAGTCATAATTCTTCCCATTTGTTCCAGCTGTCCTTTAACCTGTATCTATTCTTCCATAACTGATGTACTCTTTGAACTCGACAGTGGACTTGGACAGAGACCTTGAACTGCCTTTTTAGATGCTTTAATCCGGAAGGGTTAGTAACGGTACAAACGTGGATGTGCTCAGTCTGGAGTCCAGGCAGAAAGAGAGTCTTAGGTTACTCTACTAGACTGAGCTACTTAATATTCAGATATGGACTAGTCTAACACAGAGAGTTGGAGGGGTGTCGTCTAACTTTGCTTAATATCACAACAATAAGAACTTTTCTGTTTCACCAAGGACGTTTTTGGTTTTAACCTGCAATCTATATATGACATGGGTGCCCTCATAATGATATTAGGTGACGTCATTGCTTGGCCATCTTGTATATAAACACATGTCGTCATGGCAAGTCAAGAAATGACATCAAACAAAGTACAGGTTGTATAAATCTCAATTATAACCTCCATTGCATATCAGGAGCCACGTACAAGGTAACCCTCAAGACCCCGGATGGAGAGCGCGTGTTTGACTGTCCTGACGATAGTTACATCCTGGACGTGGCAGAAGAGGTAACATTTTCCTTGTTTTCTTTGTTTCTTCTCATTGTTTTTTCTTAAGACTTCTGAAACTTCTTTTGAAAAAGAATAGTAGAGATCTAGAGGTCTAGGCACAGGCCGTATTGGATCGGAGACGGGCAACCCTAGGCCTAAGAGATAGAAATAGCTGCATCAGTGCAGGTTCTACCAAAAAGTAGACAGGGAAACTAGATATTTGAGTCAAAAGTTCTATACAACCTCATACATACTCCTACTTGGTCATCCTGTACACGTATAACCAAAGTTATAGTTAGGTAGCTAGGTATGGGTTTTAGGACGCAAGAGTCTTGTCAGTACATTGAATAGTATTATCATTCAATTGCATCTTTTTTCCTACGCAGCAAGGACTTGACATCCCCTACTCATGCCGGGCGGGCGCATGCTCCACCTGTGCCGGTAAGATCGAGTCCGGCACCGTGGACCAGAGTGACCAGTCCTTCCTGGACGATGACCAGATGGCGAAAGGGTACGTCCTGACCTGTATTGCCTGCCCAACCAGCGACGTGGTCATCACAACCCACCAGGAGGAGGCACTCTACTAAGGGCCACCAGGCTTTCCTAAGGGGGTTAGGGTGGTAGAATTCGGCAAAAATTGGGCTGACTGGCCAGGGGAGTGGGTCCACCGCTAGGTGTCAACGCACATGATCGCTGGGGTAGCTAGAGTATCTCGGAAAAATTGAACAGGTGGTGTTCATTCTTCCGATACGAATAAACTTTTTTATTGACTTTTCAAAGTATGCACAAAAAGAAAACGATGATACGTATACAAAATAAGTAACAGACACATGAAAGAACAAAAAAGAAACATTAAATCCGGAAACTCTAGTCTATGGTCATATGAGAAAATATCAACAAGAATAAAAAGCCTTAGCTTGGAGGCCAAAAAGATATATTGTAACTCACTATGGTGGTAAATCAAGAATAAGTAATAAGTTTCTACATATTATATACAGATGCCTCGAAGGTTTGAATTATTGCCATGAATATCATTGTTCATTCACTTTACAGTTTTCTCTCTACTAACCAAATATGCGGTATTATAATTCTAAGGGAAATAAATTGGTTAACACAAACTGTGTATGTTGTCCTTTCGAATTCTGTTTCAGGTATCTATGGGAATGAATAAATGAATGAATAAAAGTGAGTGAGTGAGTGAATGAATGAACTCATGCAGAGACTTTTAGCCAATTTGGCTTAGTCGACAGTTCTTCAATTCTTAAACGGGAAAACCTATAATAAACGCGTTCTTGATGAGTTCTCACATTCAATAAAATGATAGGTAAATGCAATGGGTAACTCGTTATAATTACAACCACCAGCTGCGTAAAACAGTTACCCGGGCGGGCATTCTGGGCAAAGGGTAAAGTATGGACTGGTTCACTGGGTCATATCAGGACATTGACCTTTGGCCTCGCTCGCGCGAACCAGGTAACCGGAAGAATATAAGGTTGCTTTCGATGTGAGAAGACTTCATCAGGTACGGTTGGTATTACGTTATATACATGTTAACTTTACATACAGTCCAAAATGGTAACCAGGTCTCAACAACGTTTGTAAGAATTGGCAAAACAAATCGAGAAGACAACATCAAATGTTTTGCCCAAATAAAATAGTCGTCGTGCCAATACTGTGTATATGTAAGAGGGGGGGGGGGAGGGAGGTTGATACATTTCACATTTCTGAGTGCGCATGTACAGTATTAAAAATATTACACGATGCTCGATGTTACAAATCGTTTCCAAAGTACCTTCTGTTTCAGCAACGTCCTTGGCTTCAGGTGAAACAAGAATTGGGATACAGCATGTCTTTCACGGAAATCCCAACCTCCAAAGAGCACATCACTGTTCCTTGGGTACAGGAAGTACTGAGTAGGTATTTTTCCAACCAAGGAAACACAGAAGATACTGATGACAACTCTGCCCAAGTTGTTGTCAAAAGTCTGGACGGTCAAGGTACTGTAGGCCCAGGACAGGGGTTCCTTAGCAACAGGATTGCATTGGTTGCCATGGGAACAGTGGGTGACACGCCCATGACAACCCACCTGATGGTGAAGATGTCCACGAATGACCCGGATATAAGTCAACTTGTGCACGACCTGCGGTTTGACAGCATAGAGGTCAACTACTACAACCTGGCACTGCCAGCTCTCAGGTCAGAGGTTGAAAGGTTAGAGGGCACAGGGTCAAAGGTTGTGAGGTCAGGTGAGGAGGAAGGTACTGCAGTACCGCTTCCAGTCCCCAGGTGTTACCATGCAGCATATGACAACAGCTCAGGAAAGTCTGTGCTTGTGTTGGATAACCTACAGTCTAAGGGCTTCTTCACTAAGAAGTTCTCAGATGGGCTATTGCTTGAAGAGATAAAACTTACAGTATCTGCTTTGGCCAAACTCCACGCCATCTCCTATTCAGCCATGCAACGTGGACAGCTGCCTTCCACTGGGTTTGATTGGCTATTCGATGCATCGGAAGAAGCTGCGAATTCTGCCATCTCTCAGGCGTTTCACGACGGGGTGGACCAGTTTGCAACGGCCTTTCCTGACCAATCAGAACTGGTGTCGCTGCTGAGGCGACTGGGTAAACGTGTGCATGGCATCCTGGGAAGCGAGACAGAGGGTCCACTCATGGTGCTGTGTCATGGGGACTGCTGGGCTAACAACATCATGTTTAAGGTAATGTCATCATTAATCTCCAAGCAGATACCAGGGTGGCAAAAGACAATATCCGTTGGCCAGAGAGGGTCCAATACGCCACCCTGATCTCCAAGCAGATGCTAGGGTCTTTTGCCACCCTAAGATCTGTTTGGAGATTATGTCATCATAGCTGTCAGCAAAGCTAGTGATGTACAAAGGCCCACAAGAACAATTTCACAAACCAGTTTATTGCCTATCCTATTCTAGCTCCCATTGGCTCCTTTGATTACCAAAAAATATTGATTGGCGGTTGACTGCCTCTCAGTTAGTGATGTATGACAGCCCACAACTCTTTTCACCCAATACAAACCAGTTCATCAGCTAGCCTTTATAGCCCTTTGGCTCTTTTGATTGCCAAATAGCATGGCACCCATTATTACAGTATTGATTGTAGTTAGCTTCTTTTAAAGTGAGGTTATAGGTACTGTATATTGTTTGTATTGTTATGTATTACTATGACTAGGTATACAGTCATCTGTAACAGCCTGTTGTATAATTAACAGGTAGACGATGCTGGAGTCCCAGTAGATGCCATGCTGGTGGATTGGCAGTTCGTGTGCCGTGCGTCTCCAAGCTCCGACCTGGCGTTACTCCTTCTCTCCAGCACCGACCGGAGTCTACGACAGCGGCACGTCGATGAAATCCTCGCGCACTACCACGGCGTACTGACCGCTACCATCCAGAAGTACGGACTGGCTCTGCCAGGGTACAGTTTGGACATACTGCGTGCAGACTACCTTGCAGAACGCGTATTAGGACTGGTTCAGTGCATGGCCTCGTATGACTGTTTTGTAGGTCACCAGGCTTCCATGGAGAGGCTTAGAGACTCTGTAGAAGAGCTCAGGGAGTCAAACCTCATTTGAGTCTCATTTCATTTAATTTGGTGGTTTTGAGTACACAACTGAACCAATAGTGCAGCACAAAACACATATTTGTGGTGAATATGTTCTTCTTGATCATAATTTTGCAGTGGACAAGTTAGGCCCCGCAAAAATAAAATACAAAAATTTTACATTGATTTTGAGATTTCTACAAGTTACTATTACAGTAAAAACCAAACAAAACAGCATGATCATGAAAGATACATTTATTTTGATTAGTGAATAGTTCCACTGTCTTAGTTCCCAGTAAGTGTACACTCTCCCTCTTTACTCAGTAAATCGCCAGGCCGAGTGTTGGGTGAAAGTTACAAAGGTATACCGTATGTCGAGCTCACAAATTAATAAAAATTTATTAAATACATTATGCAGAAGATTGTAAATGATAGAGAAACAATGATTTCCTATTAATATGGCTTCATGCAACAAATACAGCAAACAAAACTCTTTTAAAAGAAACTTTTCTATAAAGGATACTAAACTCCTTTGCCAAATTTACTTCTTTCACCTATACAATGAATGTTACTTGTAAATGTGCAGATTAACTTGACAGTAGACTGAAATAGTATTACATTCCAGTAATGTTTTTGTTGGAAAATATTTGTTTTCAGTTTCTAAATGAAACATCTGAAAGGTTTTGCAACTAGACACCAATCAAAGGACTATGATACACTTAGATAAAATATACAATGAAAGAAAATCCAGTAAATTTACCAATCGTTATGTACACTTTTTTTCGCCAAAAACAGCATCCAACTCCCCATCTGTTGAACTTGAAGTAAAGCAACTGTTTACTTTTAAACTCCATCAAAGTGAGATAGCTTTACAACAACCATGTGGTGTTACCGCCATTGCCACGAATATGATTAATTGCACATGATTGAGGAGCTTAACTTTATAATGCGTATGTCATATATAAAATACCAATAATCGTGAAAGTCATACAACAGTTAGGTATGAGACTGTTACTTTAGGAAAAGCATTATGAAATAATTTGTATCATCTAAGTATCTAGACAATAATATGCTTTACTATGATGGGTTTCTTAGTTTATGAATACATTATGCTAATTTCCTGAAGTTATTCCAAATCCATGTTGGTGGTAGGGTTGTAAAATATATCACAAGGCAATCTTTGATACATATAGTTTACATATTTTCCTCCTATGAAGGAACTCCTGGTTGAAGTAGTATATAGTAGTGCTGCTTGATGGGATATTCTGACGGGCTGCACTTCCAGTTATAGCCGCTTGGAGGCGCTGTGTCCAAGAGACACACTCTTGGTCTTCTTGTTAGGGGTGACCAGTGTGCCCATTGGAGACATGGGAGCATGCTGGAGGAAGGATGGAAGAGGACAATGACAGGTTACCACATGTAATGTCTCAAACACATAAATCAGCAGTACCAATGCCAATAGTTTCTTTAGAATTATAGCGATACATGGACGTTTTCTGTATTCTATATAGACAAAAATAGATTCAATAACTTCTGTTAAATTTGTAAAGTACTAGTACATGACTTTGGACTTCAAAAAGATGGGGGTGACGTGGCAAAACTAGAGTATTCTGTACATGTACTTGTACAGTTTGATTTGAATGTATGTATGAACAATAAGGATCATTTAAAGTGATAAAAACATATTCAAATATATTCACTGAAATAGTGAAATGGGGCAGCATTATCTCTTGTAATGTATGTCTAGTATTTGAAAGGTTCAATGAATATTAGATAACCCACAGAAATTTGAAGTGACAACAGAGGAACATGTATGTTAGAATGAAGTGCTGTGATGTGAGTAAAACAAATGGTTAGTAACATGTGAGATGAGGTAGACCAAAGAGAAAGATGAAGATGATTTGATTCAAGTTTATGGGGGATGACAGCGCCAGTTTCTCTGAAGCTTTCTCTTAATTTTCATTATGGTTGACTGTTTCTAGAAGTAGAACTACAATAGAACAACACACCACACAACCAACACCATAATGTGCACACAACTTCACTGCATCACACTGTAGTAACCTACAAGATAAACCTACAAGTATTACAACACACGGCCTCTCCTATGACGTCTTGAATACTAATTCTTTGTTTTGGTCACATTTTCCACATCACATTCAAATGACCCTCCAATCTTCAAACCTGTTGCTACCTTTCAAGATTCCCTGTTATCAAAAACATTGGCGATTTTTTTTACCTCCTCCTAGCAACCTACTGCACTTTGAGATCAGGCTGAGTTTACTGTGGATATCTATGATAGGTTATTACTAATTAGGTTCCTAAACCTACTGAATCTTGATTAAGAGGACATCCAAAGATGAGAGTACTACTAACTACAGTAGTACAAAGAGGGTACTACTAACTACAAAGTACATTGCCAAGCCAAACCACGCCAAGCCAGGACACTGCGTGTCCAGATCCACCTACCTGACCAGACTTTCTGCGTGCTACACCGGTAAGAACCGGTGACCGCCGCCACAATCTGTCATGTGCGCGCACAATCTGAAACAACGGCAGGGGGAGGGGGGGTTGATTCTAGGGGATGGTAAGGCCTTACCACATACGTGTGCATAACAGTTTTGTGTCACAGTTAATCACCAAATATTGTTAGATTACATCTAATCACTGGTTATGACTGAGTTAACAATGGGATGTGAGACCACACAGTTTAGTACATGTAAATTAGTAGTACAATGATACAGTCTGTGTACGACCATTGGATCTTCTCCTAGTCACAAAAACTTCAAGGTTACTTGTACAGTACAGTATTTGGCCCAGCAAACTATTTTGCGATATGAATGCAGTTGTACATTGTGTGCAATAATTGCATTTATAATTCTGAATTTAAAACTAGGTCCCATTCCAAAGCCTTTAAGGAATAGTTTAACACATATGTTGTGCATTAAAAGCATTATCAGTTTTGTTTTTTAAAAGTTCTTACCATTTTAATTGTTGCAAGTCTTTGATCATCAATTATAAAGTGGAGCAAAAGCAGCTTAGTTTATCCATTGCATCTGTGCACACCAGCCTCATTGATCAAATTAACTGACAGGACTTCTGATTGGCTCAATACACACACCATATAGGCCACCACTGATTCAGAGAATTAAATTGAACTGTCAAAGGAAAGAGCTTCTGTATATCTTGATGCTTATTTCTTATGCTATTCCTCAGGTGATTCAGAATGGTGAGGTTCAAGCACAGCAGGTCCAAACTAGATGCTGTCATAATCTGCTTGCAGTTTGGAGATTATTGTTTAAAAGTTGTCAGCACACACAAGCCTGAGCGTACCTTACTGTCCCCGGCCAGCCTGGCCCCGATCGTATGAACCCTCCTGTTGTAGGAGCCCTGATGGAATACATGCAAGATTCCAGCTTTTCACAGGTTAACACTTCTATACTAACTCTATCTAGCCACCACCTCACACCAACTAGGTATAGCCAGTATATATGTAGCATCTTTGTATAAAAACTTAAAAAGACACCAACATGAAGCCAGATGATGCACAGTTGTTTGGATTTCAGTGAATCGTACTCTACTCATATTCTGATCCCTAAAAAATACTCGAGGAAGTGTGCATAGCTCACATAAGAGAATAACAGAAGAATAAACAAAAAGTGATGATAACTGTGCTGATAACTGATGTGTACACTTGAGCAATGGTCCACTGAAATGCAAATCATGGACACCAAAAGCTGTCAGTAGCTGCCTGCTTCAGTGATACGGAAAGCAAGTAAAAACACCCTACACTATTATTCAAGCAAAGCCGCTTAATTAATTTCCACTCCAGGATGTAGTGGAGTATTAGGAAGTTATTTCTTTTCTATATCATTATCATTATCATTATAAAGATTAGAAAAGGACCAGCCTTTTTAGCACACTTTGAGCCTTCGCCTGTTAGGATGATTACAATTAAAGGAAATAGTCTGTGTCAATTTTAAGGTTGTTAGAGCTTTATGTTTGACACCACTTAATGTGCATGGTTATTAATAGGTTTTATAGTGTAGTTGCACACCAGCAATGCTACTTGGTATAGACAGCAGATGCCCTCTACCTTGAGTAAAAGCAGGACCAGAAAAGCAAAACAGCAAAGTGAATAAGGAAGGCTAGTCTACCATGATGCAAAAGAGACCATGCAGGAAGCAAAATACAGAAAACAATGCAAAAGCAAGAGTCCAACACAATACACAGTATACCAAGTAGCTATACATATATGCACACTTAGTTGTAGCTGCTCAAAAAAATTTAAAGGAAGAAACTCAGTTGTAAAGACATTGAAGTATTAACAAAAAACATAGATACAAGAAAAAGTGGCTTTTGAGTAGCATTGTGAGAGTACTTAGGAGAAAAACATCAAGTGGGAAACATGATGTTTAGAAATATCATCTTCCTTTTTGTCCGTCAAAATGTACCAAATGGGATGACCTTACCACCCCTGTAAGAAAGCGGTACCTACCAGTCTTGGCAACTTTTAGCAAACTTTTGTTTTTTGTTGTATTTGCAATTTCAGGATCACACCATTTTCTTAAAGGGGTGGACAGGTTATAACTGATATAATGCCCTTATTCATTACCTGTAGGTCTATACTGCTCGCCATGCGTGCTCCCTGTAAGTCACCCAGGGGGGTCTCGGACCCCTCTCGCTGCATCGGCATGCCCCCCCTGGCCGGGCTCATCACCATGGAGACCGCTCGGTTGATCATCCGCCGCGGCGTCTTGCTGAAGGAAAACTGCCGAGTGACCCGTTTGGCCTTCTTGGAGAAACCCCTGCAACAATGAATGAATAAAACATGTTTGATCTCAACAGGTGATACATGTATATCCTATCTTGATTCTTGTTTAAGCCTTAGTTCCAACACTTGATCCTCTTATCAACATCTAAATATATGTAAATCTGTGATTTCTTGCTTTCAGAACCACATATAACTTTTTAGTATTTGCATGTACCGGTGTGTTCCAGTGTCCACCCATCCTTACCTGGCTAGTTTGTTGAAGCCCACTGTGTTCAGTATGGCACTCCTGTCTAACTCCACATCCTCTGGGTTTACACTGTGTAGGAAGTTCTCCTGCAAGCAAAAACAAGCAAGAACAGAAAGTCAACATCAGGGAAAATGTACCAAATAACCCACAGTATTTAAGGTAGAGGTTGTCATGTTGTATTACAAAACTAAATGATGTAACATTTTAGTATACCGAATTGCGATCTAGCCAAAGGTTATAAAAATCCAGTCATCCCTTTTGTTTTAATACCTGCAACAAAAAATGCATCTGCAGTTCCAAGGAAAGCTGGTAGGTGACCAACCATCAATTCTTCTTATCATTTCTTAGATAAAGATTTAGCCGTATGATAAATCTTGTGGCAGTCCGTTGAGAGCTTCTAAAAGAGTTAGAGTGTCTGATAAAAGTTATAAAGACATAACCTTCTTTGAGGAAAACATGAAACATCCACAAGTCACTACTCACAGCATCTGCCTTGCAAGTAGTGTTGGCCATGTGTCTACAGAGAGACTTTAGCCAGGCCTTCTTGGTGGTCTCCTCTCCCAGCAGAGTGAACATATACAGACAGACCTCCTCACTACTTGTGCCTGGGGCCTGGTAAACCAGCCCAAAGGCATTCTTGCATTCTGTGTGTTGAAAGAAAAAAGTGACAACAACTACTCACATGTCGCTTGTAAGATCAAACCTAGAATATGTATGGGATACATGTACAAAGAAAGACAAAGATAAACTGGAAAGAGTACAGAGCCCAGCAGCAAGATTCTGTACGAGCAACTATGAAATGGAAATGAAAAGAAATCTACAGTGGGTGTCACTGGAAGACAGACAAAAAATGTCCAGACTATATAGGCATAATGTACAAAATGGCCAATAGACTGGTGGATATGTACCTAATACCAGCCCAGAAAAGATCATGTGGCGTCGTGTGGTGTAGTGGTACATCACTGGACTACGAAACGGGAGACCCGGGTTCGATTCCGGGTCGTACCCGAACAAGTCCGAACATGCGCCGCGACGTTGTACCCTTGGGAAAGGTACTTTACACGACTTTCCTCACTTCACTCAGGTGAAAATGAGTACCTAGCTTCGGCTAGGGACGTCCCTCGGATAGGACGTTAAATGGAGGTCCCGTGTTTGGGAGAGCCACACCCCACGCACGTTAAAGAACCCACCGCACTTATCGAAAAGAGTAGGGGACCTTCCCGGTGTGAGTGGTTCAAACATTACTGTCTGGTCTCAGGTTTGACATCTTTGAAAAGGTGATAGTCACCTGTTATGTCAATCCTTCCACAAATGTGGTAAATCGTCATAAATAAAAGACACAGTCATGCCTTCGAAAATCTCAGACTTATCCACCAAGAATTGGGGTGTTCAAAAACTCATAGTTTCCAGGAATCATCTTAGAGTGGAACTCATTGGGGGGGGGGCATTATCACTAGCTTAAAACAACTCCTGCAGGTAGATGCACAAACTTCGGGTGTAAAAGTTTGTTTGCTGTAATATAGCTAGCTGCCACCACTTTACAAAGCTGTAACTATGTATGATACTGGGCTGTGACTTACCTTCTGTGTCTCTGATGTCCACAACCCTTTTGATGTGTGCCAGGTTGAAGAGTTCTACATGTTTGAGGGGGCCTGTAGGGGCTTTCAGCAGCCCTGGACTCTTGAACACGCTTTTCACATCTGCCATCATGCTGTGTCGCTTCTTGGATACCTGGAAAACCAAATAAGAGCCTTGAAGTTGAAGCTTAAGATATGGCTAAGTTACTGTAACTTGATAGTTAAAATAACTGAAATGGCATTTGGTTTTTTAATTGTACAAAGTCAAAGATGTGAATTGACAGTGTTTCACACTACATGTGTTGTACCATGGATTGAGGGCCTTTTTCAGCACATAAGCAGAATGTACTGAACCTGCAAGAAACCATGATTTTTCCTGGATTTTGTTGAATGTCAGAATTTTGCCTGTTGCAGATTATATCTTTTCCGACAAAACTTTTGTAAACTATAGACAGGATGTCATCCTTAAACATGAATATGAGACATTCTGCTAAAGTGCTACGCAAAATTTTGCCAACATTTTGTTGGTCTTAATTCCAACTTACCTCTAACAGGTCCGACATGAGGAACAGGGTGAGGTACTCTCCCTTCCCACACAGCTCGTGTTCTCCCCCCAGCTCCAGCACGTCCACCCTCCCGATGAACTGTCTGTGAGAGGACAGCACGTCTGCAGGACAGCCCTCCACCTCGTTTACCACGTCAAACATCTGAACCTGCCCCTCCGTACGCCGCTTGTCCTCGTTGATGTGGTCCAGGACTTCCTTGATCGCGGCAATGGCACGTTCCATCGCGAGATGGTCGGGGCTGGACTTGTCCGTTTTCTTGAGGATATCTGGAGTGAGAAAACAACAGAACTACGGTTCAATTTCACATTAAAATGTCTACATTAGTAACATAATTCAAGCTGCATTTGCAGTTGAAGTACATGCTAAGAGCATTGACTTTTACAATTGTTAACAATGCTAGATATATTGACTCTAGGAATACACAAATTCTTTGAAAAATTCCAGAAGGCGATAAGTCTTTCCTGGATAAATAAATAAAACAAACAAACAACCCTTTTCCTTACCAGTGAGCAGTAGGATGATACTGGGTAACCTCTGTACAGGTCGGATCAGCAGGTCTGCAAGTGTCTCCCGACAACATTCAGGTTTGCTCTGCTGGATCTGAGAGGTAAAATATCACAATCAACAATTGTGCATACAATTAAAGGGAACCTAAACACCTGGTCCAATATAAGAGACCAGGTTTTCAGAGCCATGAAAACTACTAACCTTCAGGAAAGCATGGAAACGTGGCTGTGTTCTCATACACTTCTGCAGGGTCTCTTTGCTCATCTCGAAAAAGTTGACAAACTTGGGGTAGGCCTTCAGCAACAACGGTTTCTGTAAAACAGACAATCCATATCACAATCATCTACTAACAGCAATACATACAGTGTATAAGAGTTACATTTACATAGGCAATATTGACTGGTTCACTTTTGTATTGCAGCTAGGTGTTACAACTGTAAAAAGATTGTTTTACCAACCTGATGAAATTATTTACAGACATCTACTACAGTATTCTATCTAATCTTAAAACAGATAAATCTGAAATAGATGTTAACAATCATGTTGGAAAGACATTTTAGAAAGAGTTGCTAAATGTCGAAGTCTGGTTTGACTTACGTATTTACAGATGATATCTCCAATAGACTTGTCTTCTGACCAGTCAGCAACAAGCTGAGTCAAGGAATCCTGTAACAATAAAGTAAGTAGGGAAAAATCATTATCGTTCAAACCAGAGTCCATCAAATGATGAAAATGACAGAGGTGTCATCCATGCCAAAAATGCAAGATCAGTCCAGCCATCAATCCAATATGCAGCAGTTGCTGTGCACACTGATCCAGTATTACACATTACTTTTACAAAGGTCCTTCTCCCATATATTGCACATGTACTTTTATTCCACTGAAAGAATCCACAGAAATGTGGAGAGTATTTAAAGAGTGTGTACTAACCCTGAGCTTGGTGTGTACGTCCAGGATCTCAGGAATACTGCCAAATATGGTCTTCACCTCCTCAGCAGCTAGCGGCAGTCCTCCCAACTGGTCTTTGTTTTCAAGGGGCTCCTTGAACACCTGAAGGAATGAGAGGTATCCAATTGAGAAAGTTTATGTATTGAATATAAAAGTTCCACAACCTTTTTGAGGCTGCAGGAGAAGACAGTGGGTTGTTACACTGTATCTTGGGCACACCGTACCCATCCCTTTCCTTCTAGTTCTACCCCAAGATACCCATTTACACCTTAGTGAAGTCATGAAAGTGATCTCAATCCAGTTTTAGCTCACTAAAGAGCTAGTCTCCCACTGGTCATGACAGGGAAGACAGATGTTATGTACAGTATTTACAGGTTCATTGTTGAATAAAAGTACCTTTCCCAATGCAACAGTGGCCTACTGGGCCTACTGGGCTAACTTTAAAGAAAACTCTTTCAGTTTTGATATGTTACAAAAAAATGAGGCTTGCGTACCCTGACGATAGTCTGCAGAATGTTGACGTAGTTCTTCTCCGTCTGTGTGAGTTCCAGCACCCGCTGGTGCCTGGCTGAGAGCGGTTTCTGTGGGGTGGGGGGGACAGGGGTGGGGGCTGGGGAGTCATCCAAGCCAAGATCTGATAAGGGAAGAATGTCATACTCATAGTTAAAACAAGAAAAAAAAAGAATTCATCATAAGGTAAAGAAAACATCACATGTGAATAAGTATCAAACCAGTCACATCTATACTAAAAAAAGGGCATCTGTACTCTTACAACTTGCCGATAAATGTTTGAACACTTCGAAAAGTGTGCTAAAAATCTAAAGCCAAATTGAAATGGTTTTCAAAGCGGTGAATGCAACCAAATTTTGCCCCAAAATGTCTTCTCCCTAAAGCTGTTATGCAGTACTTCACATTGAATCAGCAAACTAAAAGAATCCAAAATGGTAAAAATGATGGTAAAAAAATGGTACTAACCATCATCATCTATCATGCGTTCAGGTGTTTCTGTGTAGTCCAGGAAGGACCCAGACATGGACATCATGGCCTTGGCATCGCTGCCTCCCGGGCCTGCGCCCGACCGACGTTTCCTTGCGGGGAGCAGCGGGGAATCGTTGTCGCTGTCCTGCGCGAGCAGCGCCGTCGTTTCCTTCAGACGCGGGCGTTTCCTGCCTCGCGACGTGGGCGTCCTGCCGAGGGGAGGCTTCAGGTCTCTGGCAGGGGTTTCCATCTGCAGGAACAACAGAAAAACATTTAACAAAGACTTAATCATTGAATTTCTTCCAAAGTTGCTTTTGTGTCTCGAGATAATAACTTATCTGTGCCACCTAGCCATTCACAGGAAAACTGCAGGTACATTCTCCCAAACAAGGTCAAACTTAGAGATAAGCCATCTTTTGTAGCATGTCGATAGTAAGTTTTAACCAAGTTACTAATATACATGTAATTATATAACTTTGGTAGCTACTATAATGTAACTTTTAATCACAGAATTTATTGACGAAACTGCAGTAAATTTGGAAGAATAGACAAATCATACCCTCTTGAACTGGTAGATCATTTCGTCCGCTCTGGCCTCAATCTGAATGCTTGCCCAGAACCACTGCAATGGAAAACAGGAAAGTTTTACTTAGCAAGGAATAATATACATCAATAGTCATAACAGAGACATAATTTGTTATGGTTACAAACATATTGCACAGATTGAACTACCCATTTCCTTGCTGCTGAACGTAATAACAAATCCAACTTTTTTGCAACAAGTACTGCTTTGGCAAGAAGACAGCGTAAAATGGCCCCATTTTTAGAAAAATTAACCGTTGAAAATACCTCTTGTTTGACGACGTACACCTTGGAGGCATCCACATGTTGTGGGAAGTCTTTCACCTGCGAGTCATCGATCACCAGGTGAGTGGAGCTGGGATCACCGACAGGTGTGCAGGTGCCACCTGAAACAACAAATCCACCCGGTAAACAATGCTAGTCAACAACAAACATACAGATAGAATGCTCACAGCTACAAGTAGTTTTGAGTTTCTACTAGATGTTTGACAATTTTTGGTAACTTATGCCGCACCAATCAAACTTCCTGGTTCTCAGATTTTTGCAGAAAAACAACTAAAACATTAAAGTAGAAAATAAATGGATTAAAGACATCAAATTTGTGTGGCATAAGGCTCACACTAAAAGTTAGAAGCACATATTGATTTGTTTTCCATACTTACACAGTGGACTGCCCAGCAGAGTATGAATGCAGCTGTCACTTCTATGTCTCTTCATTCTCACAACAAATAAACACTGCATACTATTGCAAACTTCTTCATAAAAATACTAGGCTGCTCTAAAAACCACTGGTAGGTCTAGAATAACAACTGGCAGTCAGACATGACAATTCCTGCAAAAATCATGACCGAATGAAAAGACAGAGACAGAGCACTGGTGCACAGAGGAGCATCCTTCAGAGGTACAACTTTGAAATGACAGTTCCCACATCTGAAAGAACCTAATCATATCGTAAGCCAATCGCATGCAGCTTGGGCTCATTTGCATGTGCCTCATTTGCATATAGGTTGGGCTAGACAACAACAACCTGTCTTTTCACAGCTTTAAAGCAAAACAATCACCTGTTTGTGTTAAAAAATACAAGCTTCCTCACTCCAAGCCTGAATGAAGCTGTGAATCCAAGATACTAAATTGGACTGGCCCTATTGTATGAATCAAGAATATTTTATTTTGAAGATTTAAACAAAACCGTCATCTCACCTTGCATTTTTGTCAGCTCTTTCATCTGTTCCGTGTCCTCTTGGCTGAAACCATGGAAGCTCAGCATACAGCAGAAAAACGGCTGCATCTTGTACTTCAACTGTCAATCAAATTTTTATCAACTTGTCAGTATCATCAAAATACAGTCAAAGAAATTAAAGAAAGTGCACAATTTAGCAAGGTTATCTGAATTCACTAAGTTCTAGGATACAATTTCTAGATGTGAACCTCACAAGATGTTTATGCCACATTTGGACCACTATTGAACCGGTTAACTGTTAACACTCACTCCTACTGAACTAACACCAACACTTAATTAGCAAATCTGCGTTCACAAACTCTTGTCCACATTTACTTAGCAATATAAAAGACCAAAGCATTATTCTAATTGCTAACAATGAGTTGTGAAGTGCAAAGTTCTTCAGTACAAAAATTACCCTAAAGCTGAATCCTGTTGTTTCTACCTTTTATCTATTTTTGTTCACGGCTTCCCAAAGCTGTCAACCTGCGCTGGAAGTTCACAGCTTGGGTCAATTTTCTTTCCATAAGAACTGACACAAAGACTATTGTTCACCCGCTTGTTTTCTTACTAGCAAGCTCTAGGTACTTGTTTTTCTCATGAACCTTTTTCAATACAAAAACATCTGGGAAAGTTTGCACATAAGTGTAGATAAAAACAATAAATTACAGGATAGAAAACTTACCATTTCTTCATCAGTGCTAAGTGCAGCCCTAGAGAAAAAAGAAAGATATCTTTGAATGTTGACTTTGACAGCAGAACAATGTACTCAACAAGAATTTTCTTTTGTTTATGAATTCTTTGATTTAAAATACCAAATGAAGAGCAAGGCACTAGTACTAGTGTAACACAAGGTAAGCCAGCACTATACCTAGCTATATTGTAGATAATGTACATTGTTAGTGGTCACTCAAACATTTGCAGGTGGTATCACAACCACTGATATATTCTTTAACTAGCCTGGAATCCAAACCTTTTGTCCTCTCCGCAAATAGCGAGAACGTAAGAACTTCAGCAGCCATAATAGAATACTAGTAGCTTGAATGCCAGGCTAATAGTAATATACGGGTGAATAACATGAAAATCTATGCTAAATGTTTCCATCAGTACTTACGGGCTGTGCCTTCTCTGCCAGGACTGATGTACCCACTCCTCAGTCATAATCGGGGTCCCCAGACTTACGGCCACCTGGGTGAGGGAGGGAATCACGACCTGTTAGCATTTTCATACTTCTGTCATCTAAATATCACACTATAGAATAGCAGACAAAGTGTGAGCAGTGTATTATAGCTTCCTCTATTTTTTACTGGATTTAATTTCACGGTAGAGGAGAAGTGAGTTAAGTTGTAATTCGGTACTACAGCTGTTACATAAAGGTCACAGTGAGAATAAAACCACCAGAAAGGTTTCAAGATGTACAGTATGATACTGTCAGTAAAACAGAGATATCCTCTCACCCTGTATTTGTCCCCTGATGTAGAGTTTGCTACCAGATGTGTGACTTTTGTGCTGAAGTCCTTTCTGATGCTGCCTCCCATAAAATGTACCAGGTCAACAAGACGGGACTGAAATTTCAACAGAAAAAGCAATGAGAAATGAATCTCCAACGATAACAGTTCAAATAACACTTGCACTTGACACTTCAAACTAACAATGTGCAACTGTAAGAATCATCAATTCATTATATAAATATAGAACACTTATACACAGTGTAAGTGGTGCACTTGGCATATGCAAGAGTCAAGACACATTCAAATTATTTTATGGAACATTTGGAAGCCAGGGTGATAACTGTTAGATGGAACACAGTGTGATACATATAGAATACAACACGGGGTATTCCGTATCACCCGAGGTACCAGCCCGACAGCGCGTCGGATTGCCCGACGGCCGAAGGCCGGAGGGAGATCCGATCCGCGGGAGGGCTGGGACCGAGGGTGATGCGGAATACACCGTGTTGTATTTTATTTATGTCATACCAACCCAAGAAAACACGCCTTTCAATGCCAAATGAGCGAAAATTTGGTGTCCCTAAACCCAACAAATGCAACAACATCAATTCCAACGTCCGAATTTTGTATTAGAATTTTCGAAAGCGGTGCAAGCGGTTAGGGCGAAACGCGTTCGAATCGTTCCATGGAACATTTGGAAGGGCCGGGCCGTACGCGTTAAGAACCCCCGGGCTGTACCGCTAGTTATCACACGGGCCGGAACACCCGTATCGAACGTAATCGCGGGCCAGGTAGGACATAAAGCTAGTTATCACACGGGCTGGAAAACCTGTATCAAACGTTATTGCAGCCCAAATATAACATAAATCATCCACATCTCTCACAAGGGACATACTGACCAATTGCTCCTTTTGTCTGAAGCCAGTAAAACAGAGGATCAGGTCCTTCATGGAAGTGCAGTACAGGGGGCGCTGCACACTAGGAAGACCATCTCCCATCTCTGCATAACGCACCACAGCTGACGGGCCTAGAACCCGGGACCTCAGGTCCGACTTGTGCAGGGCCTCGAACCCCGGCCCTTCAAACTCTGCCAGGACGAAAACCGTGTCATAGTCATCGGAGTCTGTCATGTACTCCTCTCCGGTGGAGGACTTTACCACAGGAAGGTTCAGCTTCTGTAGGGAGCAGCAAGGTCAACAACATATACATGTCAATAATTATTAACAAACCTTTGCACAAATCGGTACATTTTTTTCAAACATTGTACATTGAAATGTTATGAATGTCTCAGCTTTGACTCAAGTTTCCTTCAAACGTAACTCTAATTTCAGAAAGAGGACATAAATTTCAATCAAGCATACAAAATACTAGTAATCCAGCTCAGGCTCAGCATTTTATGCTGTTTTTTTCAGCATTTATCATATTGCAATATTGCTACAAGATCTTTGGGCAGAATCGTTTAGATGTTTATTACAGGGTCGTTTAGATGTTTATTACAGGGGATATAACTTATAAGCATGTGTTGCTTTTTTTTTCCTTTCAAAGTAGTAGTAAGTAACAAGATAAGAATAAAGTACAAACTGTTATTCTAAACAAGAAAGAGTGTTATATGTATGTATGTAAACTGACCTGTAAAGCTTTAGTGAGTGTCTGGTTACTCTGCACATCTGGTCCCACCAGACACACCCTGGTCTCTACCATGTCCATGTCCTGTATGTCTGCAAACACAGGGACTTCACAAGTCAATAACAGATTCAGTACAGTATCCGGGTTCCCCGACTAATCTACAATTCTCTATACTATAGAGTTATCTGTAAAATTTCAGGGAATGGCATTTGACCATAGGGTGTCAGCAGAAATATTCCAGACCAATACAGACAGAACACCTGATCCCCCTTTGACCGTTGGATAACAGTCTGCAAGATTTGGACACAAGAATTTCAATGAGATGCTCAGTTCTTCAAAGGAGTCAAGAAAAAAATGTTTTAGAATTTCGGATAAACATCATAACTTACTTATGTGCAGCGCAAAATCTTCCTCTTACACATATGGAGGCCAATATACAACTATTTCAAAGTACAAGTGTATCAAATGCAAGGCTAAAAAAATAGCACTCCTACTCACATTCCTGCCTGAAAAGCCTACATCTCTTGAATCGCTTCAGAAGCTTGGATACATGAACATAGATCCCAACTGCTAATTTTTTCATACGTATCATTATTAGCTATACTGATAAATTTTGGAAGCATTCTACTTCTAGGCACAATAAATTTTGGAAGCGTTCTACTTCTAGGCACAATAAATTTTGGAAGCGTTCTACTTCTAGGCACTACCTGACCACTTCTATAATTAAGTGACCACTTCAAAATCTGAAGCCTGTTCGTACTTGCCCGGACTTGACCAAATTATGCTGGACTAAAATTAAAAACTAAAACGCTACAGTTGTTATGCTAAATTTACATCACATGACGCCCCCAAAAACAAGGATCAAAATAACCAGAAGAAAATAGAAAGACCAACGACAGAAATACACTGATGTGCAATTTTGATTTGTGCTTTGTACATACAAAGTCGCTCAGAATTCAACTTGAAAAGATCATAATTTCAGCTGAAAGTGAAACAAAAGAAACGTAAAGCTTACCTTCCGCCATCTTCCTTAGCTTGGGGATCTGCGTATAAACGGAGAGCAAAACGCGATATAAACAATTAAAATAACAAAGATCACACAATAAATGGGTCTACATAGACTCCTGAATCTCTCTAACGTTCTTCATCTGCAAAATTACACACAAAAACACTAATTAGCGGGAATATTGGCGATACTTTGAACAGTATCGCTAACCCAGTAATTTGAAATTGTGCGGTCGTTGTATGACGTCACTGGCAAGTGTAACGAGTGCCCTCATTGGTTTTCGCACATCACGTGACAAGAAACGTTAGCTTTTATCGCCAGAATAACGTATAAAACATATTTTTCATACTCCATAAATAATATTTGCAACACAAACTTGATTAACATGCATAAATGCTGCAATTTATGGCTGTAAAAAGATATGAAAAGCTGGATTTGCGAAAATATAACCTTTGACCCATGATGTCATCGAAAATGGCTGACAAGAAAGCGAGGGAAAGCGGTTTGTACAAAAATTCTACCATTTTGAGGCCAATTTGTCCAGATTTCGACGTAATAGCAGGGATATTTTGTTGACAAACATTTTAGGAATGCGGCAGATCTAATATAATTCTATACGGGCTCTTTTCGTTGAAGATACACACACTTGAGTTTGCGCCCCCCTCCCCATTTTGTATTTGAATTTTTGAAACGAAATGTAAACTATATTTTCTTTCTGCAGGGCGACTTCGAGACGCGGACAAGAGAAGAGTGATCGACAGCGTCACACGACTAAAGCGACAACGGCGGCAAATAGAGAACCTGGAAAGAGACAACTTCCACGACGACCCACATGCGAATCTTGTCTTAGTCAACAAAAAACTGCCACAGTTCAGTGATACCAACGACTCACGTGAGTTTTTCTTTGACTACTCATGATGTCAATTTATAGTCTTCGCCAACATACTTAAGGACACATTTTTTAGACCTTATTTTATTTGCTCCTGGCCTATCAAGGTATAACTTTTATTTGTGATTTTCTTTTCAAACTAAAAAGTGCTGCTATCAATAAGCAAAAAGTACTGTATGTCACCACTGTGGTATGTCACCAAGGAGCTTGATATAACGCCCTTGATGTCACTTTTTTTTTCGGTAGCAAAAGTTCGCGGTCTGAGAAAAGTGTACATGTTCACGGAACTATACATTCACACTATCACAGTGGTCGCAGGTGCAGCAAAAAGAAAGTCGGCAAATTATTTGTGTTAACGATAAGTTTGCTGTACAGAAGTGACCGCAAAAACCGTGAATATAAAAGTACTGCCAAAAAAATTGTGATTTACAGTATTTGTCAGTGATAAATTATGTGCATTTAGTAATACAATGTACATGTACATGTAATGTAATATTGTAATCTTTGTTCTCCATACATCTCTTTGGACTCAGCTGCTACAAAGAAGAAGAAGAAAACAAGAGGAGATCATTTTAAGCAGAGGTTCAGAAAAAACTTTCAAACATTGTTAGAGGAAGAGGTGAGTTCAGATTCAATCTTCTCATAGTTGTCATTGTTTAACTGTTACATAACATGTTGTTCTTTGCTTCCAGAAATGTTGGCAAACACATTAGACAAAACCAGTTCCTATTAACATTAATGGTTTGTCTGTCTCTTTGATTGGCATTTTTTTGTTGATTTGCCTGTATAATGTTTCATTCAATGTGTTTGTTGTTTTTCTGTAATTTTTCCAGCAACTCAGCATAAGAGGAGGACCTAACTACCTCACAGCACAGGTGCCACCATCCGAGTATCCTGAGAGAAAGTTCTGTGCAGTGTGTGGATATCCTTTCAAAACTACTAGTATTTCATGTAACATATACTAGTACATTGTATACATTATCAGTATTGTACTATGTCTAACTTTTCTTGAAGGCTCATCTACAATTTTAGGCCCGAAGACAAGGGCTCACGAGGTCACAGGTTCTGTTCCTGACAAGGTATTGTGTTGTAATGTTGGGCAATACAACACAACTTTCCTCACTCCACCCAGGGGTAAACAGTTACCTGACTTTGGTTGAGGAGGTAAATGGCAGTGGCAATGACACAGTCCAACAACCCACAGTCCTTAAAGCATCAAACAGGCTATATGGGACCTGTACCATGTACTGCTATCAAGTTTTGAAATGAATCATTTCCTGCAGACACAATCCTTAACATAACCCTACCTTCCCCTCCAACTACACCTGTGTCACCTGTGGTGCCAGGTACTGCTGTGTCAGGTGTTTAGGAACACATCAGGATACAAGGTGAGCAATATCATAAAAGATATACATGTATTCCTTTACTCACGATCCAGGTTTTGATTATTCTGCTGCTGGTATCCCTGACACATTGGTAGGTGGCAGTCGGCTAAGACATAGTACATTGTACTACCGGTAGTAGTTTTTCCAAAACGGGAACAAAGGCACCTTGCTCTCATTCAGGATATTATGACTGATCCTCTAAAACTCTACACTAGGAGTATCTGCTCACTCAGGCACTGCACTCTTTTGCATTACTTTCACTACTTTTCCAGAAAAAAAATCATTATTCCTGATTAGGTTATATGCTTTTCTCAGTTTCGTTCCCAAGGTTCAGCAACAACATGTACAAAAATATGCCTGGTGTAACATTTCATGACTTTCAGTTTAGATACCATGGTAACAATGCGTTCTGCTGAAATGACTTTGAAATATGACAATATATTAGACTGCATGAAAGCCAGGAAACATATCTGCCAATACAATGTATTTGAAATATTTTGCTTCAAAGCATTTAACACAACCTTTTACTTCTTCCTCAGGTGCCTGAAGTGGACAGTGTAATGTCAAGTCAACTTGTAAATAAGGCTCCTGGGCTGGAGGTGTGAGATGAGTGGTCAAGTCAAGTCTGTTTTTGCAAGGAATGCCACAACAGCATCACATCCTTCAAGACACAAGTCATGATAACAAACGTCCTCCACAATGTTGCAACATTACAATGACAGAAATTTTTGCATTCCAGAAAACTTGGATGTTATAAAACTGTAAGAAGATTGATGTAGATCTGATGGGCAAACAAGAGAGAGTTTTTCAGAAAACATAGTTAAAGTCTGCAACCAGCATTTTGCGAGACATCATATGGACACTAACATGGAGGCACATACAGCTATTTGCATTCTAGTGTTGCTCATTCATTTTTGTACATTTACTTTTAGTAGAGATCTTCTGACCCTCTCTCTCAATGAATTGTGTATGTCTCAAAGAACAGAATATCAGAAGACTGCATAAAACCTGCCAATGAAATTTTACAATGCTGTGTACATATAGGCACCAATGTGCCCACTTTATTGATATGAAAAGTTAGTAAAACTCTGAATATATGACACACTATGCCACAGTCTTTGTGTACGTGTCTGTTCTGTTGCAATAGTACATGAAGCAATAATATAGATTCTGATCAATATAAGATCAATGAGTTACATGATTTCCATTAGATGTTGCCATGTCTTTTTTGCTTACAAATTTTTGTGGTTTAATACCCATATGGATACCCATAATGCTGTAACAAGCCCCTAGTCAATAATTTTACACTAAAATCAGTAAACAGACTGAAAATTTGCACATGTACAGTACCGGTACCTGGCTCTTTTTGCATGAAGAAGTTTGTTAATGTTGCTGGGTACTGCAATTATAAATAGAAAAAACAGCACAATGGGTATGAATGAAACTTCATGCTTACTTAGGTACATACTCCGATAACAGGGAAAAACCATATGGGGCCATAGGAATATCATGCTTGACTCAATCTCTGGATTTGCCTCTACTGTTTTTATTTCAAAACGACCCCTTGTGTACTAATCTCCAAGCAGATCTTTGGGTGGCTGAAACACATTGGCCAGGCAGTATCCATTTGCCAGACAGTATTTCAGACAGTTTCCCTTGGGTCCCAAAATGGTAACAGTCTGGCAAATGAATACTGCATGCCTGGCCAATTTGCGATACTGTCTTTGCAGCCACCCAAAGATCTGCTTGGAAGTTGGAGATAATTGTTTACACGGTACTTGATAGTGTCACTAAGGTCAACTCCATGGAAACTTTTGACGTCACCGAAACTGTTGACATATTGGCAAGCTCAAGTGTGTGCTGCAGGTGAACGTATTGGCAAAGTCAGACACCAACTAACGACTGGCCATATATAGTCCATCCCTTGCCTTTCTTCAAGACAAAGAGCTTTACTTGCTGAGGATCGTAATTTCAATCTTCATCGCCAGTAAGCTGTTGAGATAAAAGGTTGGTAACTTATGTATGAACCTTAATAAGTCTGTGCACGTATCGTACACAACAATGACAAGTATCGTACAAAACCGAGACACAACAATGAGGAAATATACATTTTTTTCAGTCTTAACGTACGGAATTGTATCCGATATAACCAATGATCGGCATACAAATTGAATTACTACTGTATGTTAGATCGCCATTTTAGATTGCCCAGCTATTATGGCGACGAGAGCCTTCTTAATCTAACAGAGTAGGGAACTGCCACGCCTCAAAATGGCGTCGAAAAACACCTGACGCTTGGTTAACTTCGCATACTTTGCCCCCACGAAGTGCAATGATGCACATATAGTGTTGCTATAGAAGGACGCTATGTACTAGTGTTGCACTGAGAACGAGAATATAGAAATAGTTCCTCACTAAAGTTAGTTGTTTCGTACTTACCCACAGCTTACGTCTGCAAAAACGTACGTGATAAGGTTATATTATATGTCCGTGTATACCAGGTTCGTACATAAATGTATGATACTAGTACTTTCGAGCAGCTGGGTAGCCCTGATACCTCCCCCCCCTCCCAAGGGCAATACTGACTGAAAAGTGGGGAGATACAAGCTTTAGTTATAATACAGTGAGAATTAGAACCAGCATTACCAGGTAGAAGAATTGATACCGAAGCGTTTGTCAGGTAAACCCCTTGGTTGTGCAACAAAGAACCTTTGTACATATATAATATTACATTGTTTACGATTACAGGTATCATGGCTGAGCCAATCCAACAGACCGTGACGGATTCTGACAGGCGACATTTTGACTTCATTGACACCTTGCGGAAGATATCGGACGGCCTATCGAAGAGGGAGACCGCCATCCTGAAACTCTACTGCACCCATATCATCCCCAGGGGTAAACTGGAAAAGATGAAGCGCCCCATCGATGTCTTTGACCACCTTCGAAAACTTGACAAACTAAATCCGGAGAACTTAGACTTCCTTGATGAGCTGTTGCGTCGGATTCCCCGACCAGACCTGGTAAGAGAAGTCCTGCGACCGTTCCAGCCGGTTGACAGAGTGCTTCCGGAGAGTCAGGAACTTTTGCCTGGGACCAGCACGGAGGGTGAGTTATTATCTACGCTACTACCAATCGTTACAGTATTATTTGATGATCTAGAAGTATGTTTGTTACGAAAAAAAAAACGTAAATTCCTTTGGTCTTTCAAAAGAATGATAATGTCTATGATAACTTTACAGAAAATACATACCCGAGCGCTAATTTCAAAACAATGTTATACAAAAAATTTTAACTTACAATCCCTGTTCTTTTTAATTTGTGCTTCCACAGTTTTTCATGATCTTATTTTGTTTTGTTTTTTCTATTCAGAAGGGTCCGTCGTACAGCTCACCATTCATGGTCACACCCGTATGGTAGAAGAAACAAAGGATAGATACAAAAACAACCTTGCACGTATTGGCCAAACAAAAAAGTCAAATATCAAGTTCGTGGGCTACAAGAAACACGGCAGCATTTTGGTACAATTTGTTGTGCCACAAGAGACGACAGATTTGCTCCGGATAACAGCGCGAAATTCGGACCCACGGCTTGTGTTTATGGGCGTGACGTCACTACAGATAGGCAGAGAAGCCGCGGTAGAGGTGTCTGAAGAAGCAATGTTTCATGGTGAGTAGAGAAACCTCGTCCGTTATTCATAATATTCACGACATTGTCGCAATTACTGTAGATGTATTGGTAATGATGATGTTTTATTACAATATTTTATTAACATTTGTTACCATTTATAAATCAAGATAAATTTCTTGATCAACGTTTTTTTTGCAGACATTCAGAGTGAGTTTGCGCTGACAGACCGCATGCCACAAGACGACATACAAGTTGGCTGCAGGGTTAGACCACCGCGAAAGGCCATTCCAAAGTGCTGGTCCTCCCTATCAGCTCTGAACCTGTTCTCGGATGCTTTACCCCTCCATCTGCAGATAGCCGAGAGTCTGGAGTACCAGGGCTTCTCCTATTGCCTGGTCCAAGCTCTGGTGCAGAAAGATCAGGTGAGAGAAAGCCAGATGAGGCAAGTCGTCAAGACACTGGAAGTGGATGAGCACACAATGATGACAATGCGGTCAAAGCTCGCCATTGCCGACAACAGGGCTAAGACTCTGGAAGAGGAAAACGAAAGTCTTAAAAGACTGCTGGAACAAGCACAAGAAGAGAAGATGAAAGCCGAAGAGGCTGCCACAGCAGCATTGATGGAGTACACTGAAGAAAAGTACACAGGAGAAAAGCCAGCAGCAGATTCTGAGAAGAAGAAGCATGAGGCGTCCGCAAGGGACACCGACTCACCCGAAGAAAGTGAACCGAAGGCGGAAGCTGGTGTTCCTACTGGTGAGGAACCAATCGCGTTTGGTGGTCAAGGGTCGGAGCCAGGAAAGTTTGCTGCGCCACGTGGAGTCATAGTTTCGCCCGATAATCAGATTTTCATCGCTGACATGAAGAATAACCGAGTTCAAGCTCACGACATCCGGGGTGCCCACCTCCTGCAGTTCCCGACAGTTGTGTCAAGCGGCGGTACCATACGTCCGCAAGACATAGCAATGGACAACAGTGGACACCTATGGGTAGTAGGGCGCGATAAAAGTGCTGATTTCCTTGTTCAGTATACAAGAGAAGGCCAGGTACTGCAGGAAGTACCTCTGCGGGACATCGGCTATCGGTACCGCGGTGTTGCAGTTAACAGGCGGAACGACGAAGTTCTCGTGGCCGAGTCGGACACGCAACGCGCCGAGATACTGGTGTTCCGACCAGACGGTTCGCTTGCACGGCGGTTTGGGCATCAGGGAGTTTTGGGCAGGGCTGTCCGACGGCTGACCGCAGCTGCAGGGATTCCCGTTGAAGCGAGAATGGAGGACCCCGGGTTCATCACCGTGAATGAAGAACAGAACATAATCATATCCGACTGGGATGCTGCGTCTATCTTCGTGTACGACCAAACCGGACGTTTGCTGTTAAGATTCGGAGGTCTGGGGAGCAGCGAAGGTCAGCTGAGGTGGCCTTGTGGCATCTGCACGGACTCTTCTGGGAATATCATCGTAGCCGATTTCGGCAACGGGCGGCTGGAGCAGTTCACAAGCCGCGGGGAACACCTCCGCCACATAGACATCGCCACACGATACGGTAGTCCGGACGGCGTTGCCATGGGACCCATGGGGCACCTTGTGGTCACGTACGTCGAGAAGAACACCGTGGCTGTTTTCACAGAATACTGATCAGAAGGAGTCAGGATGTAATCCTGAAAATATCAGCCCATCCGCTGGCCAGCCATACAACACGTATGCTTGATGGCCAGCGATATCAGGAGTCAAGAATTCTCTTCATCGTGCACATGTGATACAAAAGTATTATCTAACCAAGAGCTGTGTGGCCCAAGGACTACTACTAATCCACAATGGTGCCAAGATACATATACATGTAATACTAATCAACAATACTGTAGTTGGGAAAGACAAGAGAATTCAGATTCAGATTTTCAGATTCAAAGTCTTTACAAACATGTTTCTGATGAAAGCAACAGTCACGCGTACGTCTGCGCGTGTTACAGTTTAGCTCAGACAAACCTAACTCAGTGCGAGGATTACAAGAGAGGAGGAATTTTAACATTGCGATATCTCCACAAGGGTCATTGGTGTAAAATGGAATTGAATACAACTATAGAGAACTAGTTGTCATTTAATAGCATAGAGCAGCTAGTCTTAAGGATCGTGGAATGAAGGACATAGTATTTACTGCTTTTGCTAGCTGATCATTGTTTGGTGACGACGTCCACTACAGAGGTTGTAGGGATTGTACGTCTAAGGAGCTGGTTGATTAAGGCGTATTATTGACTCAGCTTTTCGCCAGTCAGAGTGCATCCGACTTAACCATCAAGAAATATATGCATGTATACAGTAAATAGCAATTATGAGTTCAGTAGTTTTTCATTTTCATTCATTTGTCCATTCTGGTTTGGCAGGGCTATCACAACTATCCAGTAGCTATTGCGACTTGTTCTTCGATCCAGACTGATACAGTATAGAGGAATGCTAAAAGTCAGTAATAAAGCTTAGTTGTTAGTTCTTCATCTGTGTATTTTGGTTTGCAAATGACGACTTATAGCCAGGACTGTCCCCAACTAGCCAGTGATTATTGCAGTTTGTTCTTCGATGCACGCAGTTCCGAAATGTACTCGTACTTCGGCCGCAACTTCCCGTTAGAGGCAATTGTGGCCTGAAAAGCAAACAAGAAACAACATTACTTGCATGTTTTGTCTTGCAAATGTCAGTTGGGCAAGAAAGTTGATCCCTTGGAAACACATGGGATAGACTTTGAGAAAGGTTAAGTTGATAAGATAGCTCGCGTGTTTACTTACGTCCTGGAGAGTCCGGCAGAACAGGTGGGCTTGACTCTCAAAGGGAACCTCAGCCATAGAGTGGAGCTGTGGGGAGAGAAACACTCAGAACATCTTGCAACAGGAGAGGTAATATATGTAAGATTACAATGTTTATGTCATCATGTAGTTAAGCTGTATGGACCAATCACAAACATCCATCCTAATTGATTATGGATCTTCGCTCACTCCGTGGTTTATTCCGAACAGGCGTTATTTCAACATAAACACCTTATGGTCGGTCACTGACCCTTACTTCTTAATCAACAAAATTTAACCCAACGATAATGTGAATGTATTTTCTTTAAATTGGTTCTAGCAATGCTTATGTAGAGTCCATGGTACCAGTACGCTGTTGGCCATGAAATGGTGAGAGATCTAGACAGAGACTGCGCAGCTGCATAGAAGGACATGGAAACTAGCTATATAGCTTTGCTGCCAAATGTGCCAGCTTTAATAGGCACAGGAGGAACTAAGATAGGGCAACTAAAGGTCAATCAATCGTTCGCAAGCATTAGTGTCTGATGCATGGTGGCTGCAGACACGTGTAACAGTGGGGTTCAAGAAGTCTGAACCTTGTAGCCTTGCGCCGGTTAGTGGCACTTGAACCCCTCTGTTACACACACATAGGTCTTGTCAGGTTGATCTACTCTTAGGCTTGGCGGAGACCCTCCAGACAGTTCTAGTGACAACCAGCACTTGGGGTTTAAGGTTAACCGTACCATTTCCCAGACGTAGGGCAGCAGCTGGTCGCCGAAGATGTCCGTCGCCTCCCGGGGCAGCTGCGCGGGAAGGTTGTCCACCGAGCAGACCACAACACCGTCTCCCATGATCCTTTGATTTGGGGGAACAACATCCTCAGAGTAAGAAATAAGAGGGTATCACGCAAAGGCATGATAATCATGACATACAAATAAATCTTTACATATGACAGAGCTAATACTGTATTTCAGAACTGTAGATCCTACCCTGGCACAGACTTTGTGCCGTCAGACACTTCAAACTGGCTGTCCATGGAGGTGCATCGGGTCATGAACTCCAGCGACCCGCCCTCGTCTGCCGAGATGTCGCTCACAGCGATCAGTCGATGGGGCAAACGGGGACATCCGAGAACTTCGCCGGGACCTCCGTTGTCCGTTGCGTTGTTTCCCAGCAGCCCCTGCAGGTCGGCGTTGGTGAGCAGGCGCGGCGCGGTGGGAGGCCAGTACATGCCGTTCACCAGACACGACACGTACGGCGCGAACTAAAGACACAATCACGACGACGTCTCTTTATAACAAAGTTATCAGATAATGTTGTAATCATAGCTCTTACGCACATAAAACTTGACGCCAACACTTCATATCGATCAGAAATATCCCAATATGTTGACTTTATACAACACTACAGGATCCGGATGACACATGTGGGTACACTTTTTTGGTCTGTCACACCGATGCCTTTGCAGTACCTTTGGACTTCTTTAGTGAATCTATTGCTTCCAATTGTTCCGAATGAAAGTCTTTTTTATTCAAGCTATAAACGAAGCATAGCTGAATCTGCCACTACTGTGTTTCCATGTTAGTGATGAAACTGACCTGTTGGGCAAACGTGGAGACATATCTGTCCGGGTGTGCCGTGTACTCTTTCTCGTCGTACTGGCCGGAGTCCCTCTGTCGGAGGTGGTGGTGGCGACGCAGAACGGCGGCGTAAACTCGGGTCGTGTCTGGGAACGGTATCAACAACACTGACTCTTTTTACGCAACCAAGTGTTTTGTTCATTCAGCCGATGTTTCGTTGACCGTCTGTCACCTTCGTCAGGGCAATTCTGAGCTGGTTCACGCTGCACAGCAGGCGTCGCTGCTTATAGCAACACTGTTAGTACACGGGAAGTTCATCTGTGGTGGTAGGGTTAACTTAAACTTGGGGAAATCACCGTCAATTGCTACAGCTATAGTATACCGAAGAAGCAAATCTTAAGACTCACCGCCTGAAGCGCAAACGTCTCTCAACTCGGTAGGATCAACGAACTGGACAGGCAGCTCCTTCAACATCTCCTGTGCACCCTATGAACGACACAGATTACTGGTACTGTGAACATCTGCAGGTGGGTACCTTGGGAACAACACTACCAGTACCAGCGCAGTGAATTAGAATATCAAGAGCCTCGGATATTTGGAAACGCTTTGCTATAACAATGAGGAGTTCTATATCTAAAGCTAATGCGTTTGGAATAGGCATTTGTAACGGTGCGCATCTACTGGTAGTCACTGATATCTTTCACTACCAACCAGAAAATACATGCGCATATACGTTTAGAATTACCAAATGTACAAACACATAATAAGTACATTGACAAAGGTTATCCTGTTCGGACGTTGGAAGTAAACATTTCAAAGGAAGCTGACTAGTTTCGTCAAAATGAAAGTACATGTATTTGTATCCCAAGCCTTTTACCAAACCCATCAGGCTGAATGTCTCCCTGACATTGATCTAATTGCCATGTCGGAACTGTCTTCTAATTTGAGTACATGGTTATCTCACCTTTGACACGTAACCTGACCCAGTGAACAGGAAGGTCAAGGGCCCCATGGACTCCGGCATCCTCCCCAGGGCAAGGTCATACCCACAGTCCCTCACGGCCTGGCGGCACATCTCGATGTTCCTGTAACTGTGGGTGGGGCCGATCCTCTGAAAACGAACAAACATCAAATATCAAAACGGGTACCGGTAACGGCGTGTAGAATGATTACGGCGAGTACAACGATTAACGGAACAGGAGAAAAAGACACTTCATGATTTGGGACATACCGTGGTAAACATTTCGTAAGCAGACGGAATTACGAATTGAATGTTTCAAAGATAGTCAACATTGCGCAACAACTACAAAACTCCTCACCAAAAACGGCGTGTAATTCCCCAGGGCCAGTAGGCGAGTCCCCATGGCGTGCAGAATGTTGATCATCCCTTAAAGTGGTAGGAAATATAGTCTGGTTAATTAAGAATATCAAGATTGAGAACTGCACGTTATTTATTCAGTGTAGCCTGGGTGCCAGCCTTTATAGTTTTAAATTTAGTACGCTGTTAGACTGGGAAGTAACTGGTATCCAGGATATGTATATATATATATATATACTTCTTCACGGAGTTGCAATTGCTCATACATTCATACATTCGCCCATGGTGGAAAAGGATCGAAGCTAACAAAATGGTGTCAGAAGTGGGATACACTAACATGGACTTGACGGTATTCTGTTCCTATGTTTGATTCTTTCTAACACACACGTGTACTGTGTAGCCATGCATGAACATCCGAATACAGCCTATACATGTCACGGTTAAACTTAATGTCCAGGAGAAACTACTCATTTCATATTGCCCACATCACCATAAGGAAGGAACATGAGTGATGGTGACTAACCTGAGATGCCGGCGAGCCTGCCCATCGCTCCCGCCACAGGGCTCACCCCGGCCTCGTCCAGCATCATCTCGTAGTCAAAGATCCGGATATTCTGCAAACAAAAAGAGTCAAAAGTCTCCTGCCTTCTTTTTACAGAGTCTGACGTTCTGTCGTTACGATAGAAGTGCGAGCGTGTGTGTGTGTTCAGCAGTGTCATGTAAAGAGGTGTGCATGTTTGTATGTATGTATGTGTGTACGAGTGTATGTGTGAGTGAGTGTGTGTGTGTGTGTGTGCGCGCGCGCCTGTGGGTGTGAGTGTTTGGGGGGGGGAGGATGTGGGTGTAAACGTGCGTGCTGATGACTTACCTTCTCTAGGATGGCATCCAGCATAGGCATGTTGGCCTCCTGAGCCTTGATAGTGTGCGAGAAGAAGGCGTAGGTCTTGTTGGGCAGCAGCTCTTCAGGAGGGACCGTCTTGACTCCCAGAATCACGGACGCTTCGGACAGGTCCTCGCGGATGTGCGCGCCTGCTGCCTGGTACTCCTGGAAATGGAACATTTGGGAGAAAAACAATGCATTTGACGAGTTTACAAAACGTAGTCAACACAAATAAAAGATCACATGCGCAATACTAGCAAGCCATTTCACGTGTTGGCGGTTGTGGATCGATGAGGCCAGAACTTAACGTTAATTAAAGCCCCTTAAACGATGACAATATCCGCTTGACCAGCACGTCTAGAAAAAGGATTGTAAATAATTTCACCTGGTTGGTGAATGATGCAAAAGCAGCGTTGTTCATGAGCCGACGTTTCAATGCCCGTCAGTCATCTTCACCAGTCATAAATGCACTGATGACTTGACCAGTTGGGTAAAGAGGTGGAAGTACATGTAAAAAAAGCCGTACGCGTGCGCTCGTACCTTCCCGCTGTAAGCCCGTTTGCTGGCCGGCTGCACCAGAACCTTCACCCCTCTGTCGACGAGCTTCTGCACATGTGCGGGGGAGAGCGGTGCACGAGCCTCCCACCTGTTGTAGTCCTCCCGCCTGATCCCGAGCACGGGACGGTTATTCGCCACGAACTGCATTCTTCTGTCTATATGGGCACTCCAGACAAATCTTCTTCGAAAAACACAATATGTGTAGTTTAACTTGTTATGGTATCTTTGATTTGAAATCAAAGACATTTTGCCTCAGTTGACTCAGTTAAAATCTCATGGAGCAAAGACAGTATATAATGCGTGGAAAGGACAGAACTAGAGCACAATTAATTGGATTAGAAGTAGGTTGTCGTGTGATTTCCAAGAAGGCAAACTATGACATAACCAACCGCCCAGAAATCTTGAACAGTCTTCAAGACAGCTGAATCTTGCGCAACATATTCCAGGAAGGTATTAAGTTTGCCATCGTTTATGACCTATGCGAACGGGCCCTGAACATGCAAATTAATTTGGGAACATGTTTCTGATAGATTTCGAGGCTACAAGGTGTATCTGAGAATCAGAGCAAGCGTTCAGTCAGGGTAAGCCTCTGCCATCATAAATATAGAATGTTGACAAAATGATGTAGTCTTTTGATAAAGAAACAAGAACCAAACAGATTTCTAGTAGATCTATTACAAATAACGTACGCAATTATATAATACATACAAAACAATGTGCACAGTTACAATGCATGCATTGAAATCTCAAGGCCATAACGCCGTTTGAAAAACCATGTTCACAGGGGCAGAAAACAGGTCTTTAATGACCTATAAGTTGTAATGAAGACATTTTCCCCATCTGTGAGACAAATTGCACTTGAAAATATGTTCACCTTGGCTATATGTTACTGTAAATATATTCTCACCTGTAAGACAAAGTTGCAATGTTGAATAGCTCACAGTTCTGAAATTTATGATGTCTAACCGGTCTGGGTACTTTTTGTCAGGCAAACTGATGTTGTCAAAGCGCCAATACTGACAGCCACACAGTCAAACAACCCAATCAAACAAACTATACGAGTAGTCGTTAGAACAGCACTGCCCTACCAGCATCACAGGCACGCGGCGCGGCTGCAGCTAGCTACCAATAGTATATGACACGGAACATGTTACACCTAAACTTTGAACATCTAACTCTTAACATTATTCAAAGCTATCTGGTGAAAAATACGCTACCAAAAAATAACCATCTTGGCGAAGATAATGATCAAAACCACCCACCGTTCCCCAGTTGATCTGATGTGCTAATAGGTGGGACTGTAGCAGCCGACGTCCTGGACATGAGAAGTGATATCAACAAAAGGCTAAACAGCGTTGACGCAATGTCGGTCTTTCTCCGTGTGCATGAGGCCGTACCGTATGTACGTACTCCATGGTATATACATGCATGTATGCACCGTACATGTATTTGTCACGACCTTCCCTGTTCCTGCTGCTTACTTAGAAGGATATGGACTCTGAAATCTGCCATGAGTCAGACTTAATTGTTCTCGTAAAAGTTGTGAAACTCCGGAAGGACAGAAATTCATAGCTTTGCGACCTTGTAACCTTTGTGTTGGCATTTATAAACACCATGTACGCTGTGTGTGTGTGTGTGAGTGTGTGTGTGTTTGTGAGAGTACGAGTTTCGTGAGGATATTAAGTGGGGGGGGGGGGGGATCTGAGTAAGCTGACGTGCTAGCCAGGCCAGGTGGACAGGCCAGGTAGCCAGGCACCTCGTTTTTTTCTGTAAACCTGGGACAGGGTTGTTGCTGTTGTTTTTCTTCTAAGGTTTCACACTCGGAATAAGTATCTCGCAATAAGAATCTATGTACATGTACTAGTATACTGTCATGCTACAGAAAACATGGAAAGGTTTAGTTGTGTACATCTGCCAAGAATGTGATAAGTTGTTAAGTTTATCTTGGAATGAGACAGTGATTAACATGCAGTTTAACTTTATGCCTTATCTTTATTTTGGTACATTTGTATAAAGACATTCTTACCCCTACAGTTGAACAGTTGTTAAAATGAAATGGAACAAGGACATACATTGCATGTCTTGTATCATATGAAATATTACAGCTCAAGGATGTAAAATAATAAAATCAGTTTCCTATAAAAGGGTTAGCTATCATAAGCAGGCAGTCCAAACTCCTCTGGGCAGAAATCCTCCAGGGAGTCCAGTACAAGCGTGCCCTTGGTGCAGAGACTCCGGTCCAGTTTGGGGTGTGGCACCATCACAACCTGCATCCCAGCATTCAGTGCAGAGTCTACACCATTTGGGGAGTCTTCAAAGGCCAGGCACTGAAACAAAAAGGTGCTTTTTTCAATGAGAATGACTAGTGGAAATATATGACAATATTATTTTACAGGTAGGTAAAGATTGATAATCCACCAGTGTACTGGGTATGGTATTGACAGATATCCCTCTCCCTCCAATGCCTTTTACCTCCCCAACCAAAGTCAGGTACCCATTTTACCCATTGATGGAGTGAGAAAGTGGGAAAGAAGTACCCAGGGACGTCAATGTCTAGCCTGGCAAGCTAGGAATTGAACCCATGACATTTCGATCTTATACTTGAAAGTTCATCTGTATTGATCCAACACAAAAAAGTTCTTTAGACCAGTCACTCTGTGAGAGAACTTCTTTGTGTTGGATCGAAAGTATTAACTTTAAACACATCTCAATCTTATGTCCGCTGCCTAGAAACTGGGCAATTCTTCAACACTACATGTAGTTACAAAGTAAACTGTACAATATTCCCACCTGGGCTGGGTCTGGTTTATCGGGAAACCTTGTTGCAGGCACCAGGAATGCATCAGCGTGAGGCTTGCCATGTTTTACTTCAGGGTCACTGCCACAGGTCACCAGGGGGTCAAACAGCTTGAAAAACTCCCTGTGATTGGTCGTTTTGGTGTTGAACTTTTCTGCGTCCGATCCCGTTGAGAGACCCACTGGGACCTTGTGTTTGTGGAGGTGACGTACAACCTTCTCTGCACCTTTAATGGCATGAAATATACTAGTATACACAGATAGATAAATAGAAATATATATGCATAAGTATATATGTAGGTAAGTTGGTAGGTAGGTAGGTAGGTTGGTTGGTACAAGGAGATTTAAAATTCTTGGTTGGTAGATAGGTAGGTAGGTAGGTTGGTAGATAGTTAGGTAGGTTGGTTGGGAGGCAGGTAGGTACTAGTAGGTAGGTAGATTAGATAGATAGACAGACAGATAGTACTGAATGTAGGGTGGTTTCAAATCTTAAACGCCTCAACTTCTAGCTGGAAATTTATGGGGGAAGTCACCTACCAGGTAGCAGCTTAGCTGTAGGCATGAGTTCTGCATATCTCTTGGCACACCATTCATGGTACTGCTCCTCAGTTATGGGAAGGTCTACAGGGAAGAATGGGGAAATAAGTCACATTCTGTTCTACACAAATCGACCAGCATTTCTGTGCAAGTTTTGCGTAAATTAACCCTAGTAGCTGGCATGTTACACCAAAGGGCGGTTATACCGGCTATACCAATACAAAAAGAAACACCCTTCAAACTTAATCCTGGGTGGGATTTAGACAAACACTGTTTGATAGAAAGTTGGTGAAGTGTGCCTGGCCATGTGATACTGTGTACTAAAATAGTAACGTTATATTTCTATACATGTACATGTACTTCCTTTTGTTTGGTAAATGATTTCCATCCATTCTCAGTATATTTACTATTATTAATTCTAGTAGATGGGATGACAATTTCAGAAAACAGATAAGCATGACACTGAAGAAACACTAAGAACAGAAAAGCAAGAAGGGTGGTTGTCAGATCTGATGTGGTGGCCCAATGGTCAAATGATAAGACTAAGAGATAAAAGGTTTCTACATATAAGACCAGTACAGTACCTAGTTTCTGAATCAGGTATCTGGCACCCTCTTGAGGTGTCACCCCCATCATACGTGCCTTGATGGTCCAGTCAAACGTATGGCCGTATGGTGCCACCAGTTCCTCAAACACTTTGGTGTAGATGTCTTCTGTGTCTGCAGGAGAGTTTGAGAAATGTACACAATGAGATAAAAATCGATCATGCTTCTGAACACAGAAAAGGATGGAAGAACATTTGAATGTTCTTTGCCCATAGTCGTAAGTATTAAGGGACTAATAAGTCTATTGTAAAAAGGGTGGAAATTTTACTGCAGTTTTTGTTCCGTCTTGTCTTGTCATACACCATGCTTTTTTGCATTAAGAAGACCACTTGTCTAAGAAGATATACAGTAAGATGTATTGTCCTTGGTCCCATGGGTGGTCGTCTTAGACCTAAGTTTGACGGTGCTTCTATCTTTTCTAATCTATCTTTTCTGTCAAGACCAGTGCAAGATAAGAGCTCAATATCAAGCTAAACTGGTTCAAGATCACTTTAATGAGCTCTAAAAATGAACAGGTCAGCCATTTTTATTGACAGTTGTAGAATTTATTCAATCAAAATTATACAGATATTCGTACTGCCTGAATCACTTATCTTACCAATACATTTTGAAATTCACAGTTGCAAGAAGAGCAATTCCTTGTAGTCGCCTTGCATTTTATGAAAGTACTTATATGCAATGCATGTATAGCATATACAAGCAGCAAGGCAAGATGCTAATTCATTTACTAACACAGGTATCATATGCAATCAAACTTCCACAATATTTACAGAGAGAAGTGTGATAATTTGGAAACTTGAGACCAGAAATTGTACCATACACAAAAAAATTAACTGTCATGTTTCTTGAGAATGGAAGGAACTTTGGTGCTTGTATATTAAACAACGCACTAGTACTGGCAGAATACAATGCATACTGTACAACCCCACACTAAAGCAAATCTTAGAAGAGTCCAGTTCATTCAAAATATCTTCCAGTCACTGCAAGTTAGCATTAGAGGTACACAAAAGACATGGACAATACAGTACACTTGACTTCATGTACAATATTATCTACATGATAATTTTTCAAGACATAGACTTTTACAAAAAATTAATTGCATAATAGAACATTTGTGCAAAAGTTGTGTCAGAATATTCTATAAACTAACTATGGTTACAACATAAATGTTATATCCAGTGAAAGAAGCCTTAGTTACATGCATTCAGAATTTACAAAAAAGCTTATAGCCACAGCACAGTCATGTGTTCTTCTAAAAAAGATCATTCCTTCTATAACTCTAATCTATTTGCTATGATTGTTGATTATACTGCATACAAACTTGTAATTCAGAGTTCCACATCACATTGTGTTTTGTGTAAAACATGAAACAACTTTGTTCTAAAAACTATACTACCAAAACTGACGAGAATCTTGACCAGTCAAAAATTCAGACTTCACCATATACAGCATACAACAAAACTAGGTAGGACTTAGAACTATAGAAATGACAATGGACAACTGTTGTGAATCTAACATACTTTGAGCACAAAGGCATTCATAATGGGACAGTGGGACAGTGCATGCCTTAACTTCTGAGGTGTCACCAAAAAATCAAGACATAGGGTATGATCATGTGTAGTTACCATAGTTTGAGTATGATGATAGGAACGGCATCCAATTCTGATAATGTCATTCAACAATATACATATTGTATGATATGTTATCTAAGAAGTTTGGCATTAATATACTATTTCAATCAATGATCCCATAATTGTATATAGCAATGAAACAATGCAATGTCATATGATAATGTGTATACTTTTGTTGTATCAATGTAAAGAGGAAAACTCCATACTAGTAGGAAACTTTGGCTTTTGACATATTTAATCTTTTAAGACTTAAATACTGTAACTTACCCTAAGATTGACTTGGCTCTAGAATACCCATCAAAACACCTCATACCCTTCCCCACCCCCTCCCCCTTTACCTACTGCACCCCCCAAAAACTCTTCCAATTCGTCAACTTCCTTCTTTTTGTGCTTCTTCCTTTTCTTCTTCCCTTCTCCTTCATCTGACACTTTCTCTTTCTCTTTATCTCGGTGTTTCTTGTGCTTCTTCTTGTGGGACCTTTCTCCTTCTTCCTCTCCATCACTCCTGCGATCCTTCTTTTTCTTCTTCTTCTTCTTCTGACCGGCATCTTCCCTGTCTCCTTCTCCTGACTCCTGACCAGACAAAGGCTTGCTCACTTTTTCTAAGAAATCAAAATCCTCCTTCTTCAGTTCTACTGCAGCCTCTGCACCATCTAAGCTAATCTCATCTACCTTTGCTACTAATCCGTCAACTTTACCCTCCCCTCCTCCCAACCAATCATCAAGCCCCTTTTGTTCATCCTCACTAGAAATGTCTACATCAGCAGTTATGATTGGTTGATTTGTGTCCTCATCAGCATCTGATTGGCCAGCTTCCTGGACTTCCTCTGAGTCATTTGACACAGTGTGAGGCTGTGAAAGGGGTTTAAGAGATTCTGTTTTTTGTGGCTGTAAGATGGGGGTTGGGAGGTCATCATCGATGTCTGCGTCTTTGGCAACGACTGGTTCATCTTCATCACTGGATAGGTCGATGTCCAGGGATGCAGATGTGGGTTTTGCTGGGGCCTGATTGGGCATTTCATCCTCTGAATCAATCTCCTCAGCAAAGCCTGCCACCATGGGATTTCCTACAGTCAGAACATGAAAAATGAAGAAATAAGCTTTGCGTTTCATCTAACACTGCATATGAATGTACTTAAACTGTGACAAGCTAGTATGTCCTTTCATGTGTACATTATATTACACTGGAGCTAGAATAGGATATTACACCAACTGGAAACCTAGTGAGTGGATGTTATAATCTAACTTCAAGTGCACACTTTTATCATGATTCAAACTTTACCTTCTACATCACTATCGGAGTCCTCCATATTGGCTGGCTCAGCAGTCCGTACAGGTGCAGGTTTGGCGGATTCTGGCTCGTCCAAAAAGTGGCTGTCTAGACCCTCCTCTGGAACAAAGTCCTCCACAGCCTTGATGGGTCCCGTGGGTGGGGAGGCAGGGGTGGGGGAGCCAGCCCCTGGGTCAGGGGCAGCCATGTCCTGCTGGGCAGGGCTGGAGTTCCCAAACAACCTGGACATGAAGCCTTGTTTCTGTGGGGTCGGCTTGTTTTCCTGAACAGGGGTGGGGGAAGGGGTGTATCCCCCGGGTGTTGATGCAGGGGTGTACCCCCCAGGGGTGGTGGCAGGAGTCGCTGGGTTTGACAAGGACGGCGTGGTGGCGGGCGTTGAGAGGTTGGATCGTGCCGGAGTCGTCGCAGCTGAATCTGACTGGTTCTCATCCCCACCGCCATTCTGGGCTTCGGTTGGAAGGTGGGTGGGGCGGGTGGGCGTCGGTCTCCTCTTCTTAGCCAGCCCCTGGATGTACAGCTCGTAGTTCTGTTCCTCGGACTCCGAGTGGATGCCCAACTCCTCGATCATGGCGACCATGTCGCGCTTGTTGGTTTCCAGCTGCCGCAGCAGTGTCTCCCTCTGCAGCTGCAGGAAGGGGATGTTGAAGAACTTGTGCAGGTACTTCAGTCCGAACCCGTTCCTCATGGACGACTCGGCAAACCGTATGTCTGCAGCGCCCTCCGGTCGGTCCAGCCCTTCTATCCAGTAGATGAGGTGGTCGGCGCTGATGACTCGGTGCTCCCCCATGTCGCGAAAATTGGCCAGGATCAGGACGGGGATGTGGGTGGGAACTTTCGGCAGCTCGCGCGCAACGTAATCGAACGTCCACTGCTTGGTGATATCCACCATCATGATCACACCGTTACAGTTCTTGTACACGTCAAGAAACTCTGCATCCAGGGCCTGCGCCATTTCTTCCGCGAGATCTGGGTCGTTCTCCAGCTTGAGCGAGTCCGATTTCTTCCGTTTCTTGGCTTTGTCCACGACGTCCCACACTTCCACCTTTACCACATCATCCGTGGCTTTGTAGTTCCAAACTATGGTGGCTACCTGCAGAGGCAAGATAAATTGGGGAGGGAAAAGAAAGAAAATGATTATCCAGATTTGATAACTAATAAATCATTTGATACATGCAATTGAAAAAACTAGCAACAGCAACAACAGCATTCAAAGCCTCAGCCAGAAAATTTGAATCGCTTCTTTCTATGAGAACATTGTGAAATTTGATCTTTGGTATGATGATGTTAGCAGCTTCACTATACATTGGACTGGTGAAGGATAGACATTTAGGTAAACAATAATCATGGAAAATTCAAACTCTAGGTAAATTATATGACAATATCAATATCAATGACAGTTAGTTCGGTGACAATGAAGAAGAGTGGGGGATGTCACTCAAAACATCCGGAAGTAATCTTCGTGCTTTATCTAGTAGTAGAGTTGGAATTTTCTATGAGTATGATAGCACTATGTGTGTAGCCTAATTACAGTGAGCAGGTCTATAGTAGAGGTGCTGTTACCTGTAGTTCATGAGTGGGAAGATACTCCTCCACAAACTTATGTCCCTGTAGTCGGTGGAACAGGCAGGTCTTCCCTGTGTTACGGTCACCCTGCAACCAAGGAAATGTCAAAGCTTAGACAGGACGTGTGGCAGAGGCCAGATATTAGCATGAAACAATTATTTACATGTAGAAACAACAAGCTCTCACATCACAAAAAAAGTAAACATTTATTGATTTAAGTCAGTTGTCAGGTTTTCTCATGCATTGAAGGTGAATTTTTTGCTTTGGACTCAAGCTTTTATTTAGGCTTTTATCGGAATATCAATGGTAATTATTAGACACTATTATAAATGACACTTTTATGAATCCCATTGCATGCTGGGAGACAGGGAGCATCCTGGGTAATGCAGAAAATGGGGAAAATGTCATTTTCTCATCGTTTCCACAGCCCTAGGACAAAGTAAATTAGGTAACCTATTTCATGCACTTCATAACTTATGAGAGAGATACTTACCTTTATGACAATTTTCATATTGTACTGGACACCCCTAGCGAATTTCCTCTGCAGTGCAGGGTTGAGGGATTGCATCCCCGGCGGCATGTTGACCCCGCCCCTCCCCTGCTCACTCCCTACCAGCTTCTTCAGGGCAGAAAACATGACGACTCTCGCCTCGTAATATCAACGACGAAACAGTTGCTGTGGTCTACAGGGCGTAGGTGTCGTCCCCAAATGCATTTGCAAGTCCACAAGTTCTTGTCAGCAGGTCTTTCCTCTGAAAGTCTGATGCTGTTCCGGTTTCCGCTTGTTTGCTTTCCGATAACAGTCTCAACACACACGATGCAAATGTTAGAAAAAACGCTCTCTACCGATATGCGATTGAATGCCTTTCCTGAGACAGAACGGACGTCTTTCCGGCAAAATTATACAATAGTCTTGCAGTTTCTATGCACAATTTGAGCGCTGGCGTTCAAACAAATTCCTGCAGAGCTGTGTGTACAAAATATACTCGTGACAGAGCTGAGGTTCCCTTGTGGGTGACGTGACTTGTCTTCCAAAAACAGCAGGAACAGAAAATAATGCACGGTGAGTCCTCTTCAGCACGTAATCACAGGAGTCTAGATGCACCTCCTCACGTTCCACGTCGTTAGAACTGCAATCGGTGACGAAAATCTATCGATTTGAGCCATTATAGGTGGAAGAGTCGCACCTCTCTCGGTACGGAAAATGGCGACTGCCAGCTCGCAAAGCAAACGACCTTTGACACTGAACGCATCGCTACGTGACGTGCGTGAAAAGTTCATATGATGATGATAAACGCATCAATAACAGACTGCACAAAAACATAATAACCTAGAACAGTACCTTATAGTTAGAAGGTTTATGTTTTTTCTGGATATTCACATAAGTTTACTAGTAGTATATTGTTTTGCGTTTGGATACTTTCACAAAAACACTTCCGGGTTCAAGAGTTCAAACCAGGGAGTTCAACCCAGAGAGATTTTTTTGCAGAAGCAAAACTGATGTTAACGTTTAAATATGGCAGAACAATTAATTTGGTCAAAATATTGTTGAGCGTTTCTGGTATATGACACTAATGCAATCCATCCTCCAAACGTTACACACATAATTTTATGATCACATTACATCGGAAATCTGTCTAAAGAGCTTTATTGTCTTTAAGTTAACTGCGCTCATGTAAAATTATCAGTGCAGGATGAATAACGCTGTAAAGTTTGATTCAGAAAAAAAGGGGCGAATTTAGGGCCCCACCCGTTAACGTTACTACCATAACACACAGATTAAAGCCATATCAACAAAATACCGATAAAATATAACGTTATACAAGGACTGTACTGTCTTGATCGAAACTCAAACGCTAAATTTCATGTTGAATTTTCAATTTTCACGTGTCTTAAAATATCAAATCAAAAACAAAATAAAGACTAATCTATTTTAACCTATAAAAGTTACCTGTAACGCAGTTGATCTAGGAGGGGGCGGGGCGCTATATTTAAAGTTAAAACCCAGAAGTATCCAAGCTGTGGTCATAATCAATGCCACTTCCACACATACTCACCCAGCAGGAGCCCATCCATGTCGAAGATAACATGGGTAACCGGTTTGAACTTCCTCGTGCTCGCCATGTCTTCGTGTCTTGTTACACCAAACAGCTGATCGCAGAGGCGTGACCTTTGTACCAGTTTTCATCCGTACACGTCACTTCCGGTTCTCCGAAGTGGTCAGACCAGCGCCCGTCCCCCTTTTCCTTTGTCTATGACGCGTTTATACCATTCGTTGACATCCGCAAGGTACCAGAAATACTGCAGAGACAGTTAGAAGTTAGGAACATACTTGGGAGTAACTTGATAGTCAGATCGAGATCTGTTGTGCGCAGTACACATCATGTCGTCTGCTAGCTGACTTCAGTTCTTGCCCCCCTCCCCCCAACGTTAAGTTGTTTTCACAACTTTCCAACGTCAAACAAGGAGCGGTGAGTTAAAAGTCGTGTTTTAATTTTTTTATAACCATGCTTTTGTTTTATTTTCCAATCTTATGTCCAAAACTTCAGCTACATGTCAGATTAACAGCTGGTTTTATTTGTAAATTGATTAATCGCACTGGGCTATGATAAACAAACCTTTGTTGTCCGTGCCACATATTGTACAGCTGTCACCAAATGAATCAAAAGAACCACTATCAGCTATAACTAAAGATATAAGCCTGATTAAGTCATTCTCCTAGTGACCCTCAAAATGATATTCCTCTAGGCCTTGATAGCAACTACCTGTAATGGTTAGGTCTGTATTTCCAAACCGGGGCCCAGTCAGGCTGTTTGCGTGAACGACATACAATTCACATCAATATGTATACAAACAGTACTTATGATTAGTTAATTTTCAACTTTTTTGTGTTTTTTATCTTTTATATCATACTTTTCATTCCTGGAAACTGCCCAGCCGGGCCCTGGGCTGGGAATCATGCTTTACACAATTTCACAGATGTGTTGAAATCTATGCTAACTCATACATGTCAGTTTTGTATTGTTTGTATGACATGACTGTCCCATCCCTGTAGCTGGTCTGTCATGCAGAAGAGGCTGGTACAACTCAACATGTCCATGTTCGACCCACACATGCTGTCCAACCAGACTACAAGGTTTACAAGGTAGGCTGTGGTTGGGGTTGGCTTATTACTAGTACCTATACGAGTATAGAGGTATTGTTTTGGGTATTTTCTGTGTATTTTATTGTGTTCTTAGGCATTTCAATGTAGTAAGTACAATGTACAACTAAGTGGCAGAAAGGAAGTGATTAATAAATTCACCAAAAAACTCTTAACTTCCTGGGACTGTCATGTGTTTTTTCTGAAGTGTGACCAGACTTTGACCCAGTAGTGCTGACGTTACACTTTAGAGAAGCCATATTAGACATTCTGTTCGCTGTTTTTTCATGTTTCTGTCACCGTTGGTGAATGGCAACTCTTGGGTGTGCAGGAGGTTGGGGAGACCCACAACGCACCAGGGCATCACGCGGATGAACATGACGTTTGCGGGGTGCGGTTTCCTGGGAATCTACCATCTGGGCGTGACGTCCTGCCTCCTGAAGCACGGCCAGGCGCTGCTCAGTCAGGTCACCTGCTTCGCGGGGGCGTCGGCGGGGTCACTGGCAGCTGCCATGATGGTTCTGGGGAGGGACAGGCTACAGGTAAGTTGTGTTTGTTTGTTTGTTTGTTTGTTTGTTTGGTCGGTTAACCCTAGCAGAAGCTAAGCTACTCATCTTCACCTGAGTTGAATGAGGGAAATGGTGTAAAGTGCTTCTGCCAAGGGTACAAGTTAAAACTTTGAAAACAGCCCTTAGCACCTGCATTGCTGCTCATTAATGATATTGACATGTACTATGTATATGCTAATGCCTTCTCTCTCTCTTGCTCCAGTACTCTCTAGACTTCACTTACGGTGTGGCAGCAGAGATCAGGGATCTCCCTCTGGGAGCCTTCAATCCAAGGTAGGCTCGTTGCCTTCGTCAGAAGGCTATGTTTTCGGTTTGGGCTTGGTGGAGTGGCTGTGGTGTGGGTCTGTCAACATCATAACTTGAGTAGTTGTGGATAGATCTTATTGATATTTGGTATGTGAGTAGCTGTTGTGGAAATGAAGGTCAAGTTAAGAAATGGTCCACCTGGCTTTTTTCAATGGTACTGCAGCAGGCTTTTTATGCATTTGTTGATTGTGTATTGATAAATATATATTGATATGATACATTGTTTCAATCAATGGTAGGTTTAATATGCTGGAGAAACTCAGGCATTTCCTTGAGGAAATGTTGCCTAGCAACGCTCATGAGCTGGCCAATCACAGACTGCACATAGCAGTGACAAGAGTGAGGGACTCCAGGGGCGAAATCATCTCCACATTCAACAGCAGAGAAGAGCTGATTCTGGTCAGTAGAATTGTAACAGTGGGGGGTTTATAGGCGCTACCAACAGATCCGGCAAACGGGTCTAGACCTTTTAGTGGAGAGGTTAGAGTGTCTGCCTGTGGACTGGTGCCCGGGTTTGGTCGTTAATTCGGAAGATTCGAGGACGAATCTTGAAAAGAAAAGGGGGAGTAGTGTAACAGTGGGGGGTTTATAGGCGCTACCAACAGATCCGGCAACGGGTCTAGACCTTTTAGCGGAGAGGTTAGAGTGTCTGCCTGTGGACTGGTGCCCGGGTTTGGTCGTTAATTCGGAAGATTCGAGGACGAATCTTGAAAAGAAAAGGGGGAGTAGTGTAACAGTGGGGGGTTTATAGGCGCTACCAACAGATCCGGCAACGGGTCTAGACCTTTTAGCGGAGAGGTTAGAGTGTCTGCCTGTGGACTGGTGCCCGGGTTTGGTCGTGGGTTCGAACCCTAGCCCGGGACCAGTGGGGTTTTTACTGGCTCCTCCTTGTTTCTTACAGAATCACCTTGCCATGTTTCTTCTAGCCATTGCTGTCAATAGTGTGTAGATATATTTTGACAATGCCTCAGGGACAATTTGTCCAAGACATTGCAGTGGTAGGTACCAGCTTGAGATTGCCTGTGTAGACTTTGACCTGATTTCGTCTAAACAAAATTTCATGTTGCTACAGATTCTTCTGGGAAGCTGTTTTATTCCCTACTATTGTGGCAGGGATTATCCTGTTTTCAGAGGAGAGGTGAGTACTGTTGTGACCCCCAAATACTGATTTTGGGGCCTCCTAGTAACTTTCCATAGTGCTGCAGTGACACATCTTTTTTTCCATATCTTCTGTCCTGGAAGTGCTGTGGCCTTACATTTTACCAGCAGCTACAGTACATGTACCTCTTGGGGCTGTAAAGAAGTGGTATAAATTTGGGTCTCTATAAACAGCTTGTTTGTGAACTGTAGGGGAAACTTTTGTCAGAAACTTTAGAGGAACTCAGAAACTTTAGAGAAACTCTTCCTTACCATATATATTCCCCTTTCCTTATGCAGAAGTGGCTGGATGGAGGATGGACGGACAACCTCCCCAGACCCCAGTTTGGAGGCCCCACCATCACGGTGTCCCCCTTCTCAGGCAACCACGACATCTGTCCACAGGACAATCCCGGACGCAACTGGCACTTACACGTCGCCAACCAGTCCCTGAGGGTCAACCCTGCAAACACACGGCGCGGCATACACGCGCTCAAACCACCTAAACAGGAGGTCTTGGAGGAATACTACACAAGAGGATTCCAGGATATGGAGAATTATCTTAAGGAGAAAGGATATTTCGATGTGGAAGCTCAGAATGGACTGTATGTTGAGAGAGAGACTACAGTATAGCTGACAGTGCAATCCCCAGAAAGTGTACAAAAGTGGTCAGAGTAATGCTGCTGTCATGCTCAAAGTTTTGATACTGCTGAAGTCTAACATTGGTGTCGACTGCCATGGTGATTTCACTGTTATTATGTGTAGCCCAAAGAGGGCGAATGATAAATGGTGACTACTGGTCAATGTGCACTTAGGTAGCATATACTAATGTAGACTTGGGTGGCATCAATGCCAAAATGCTAGACAAATTCAGCAACAATGCAGCAACAATCCAGCATCAATACAGCAACAATATCACTACTTTTTCTAGGAGTTTACACAGTCTACAACTGTCATGCTGCCATTTTTATATGTGTGTCAATGGTCTCTACAAATTTTATGAGAACCGTTTGAAATGGATGGTGGTACAATCTGTATACTATTATAGATATCTATGTTTACCTTTACAGAAGGAAAACATGTTGTTTTTGCTCTGTTTCTTCTTCTTCTCCAAACACACAATAACCTGGATCAGATGTGTCACCATGGTAACTGGTGTGGTAGCAGACACCCCATGGCGTTGGATTACATCACATAACATAACATAACAGGACAGAGGGGCTGGTCATCATATACATGTGTATATGAATGTGTGAGTAAGAATAAACAGAGCAGTAGTTTTAGTTTATTAGGCTAGACTACATGAAGGTAAACATCATTACATTTCTAGTTTTGTGTTTTCTGAGAGTTTATTTGATACAACCCTTTACACTGCCAAACATTGTACTGTCTCTTGTCTTTGCAAAATCAGTGTATTTGTAAGACCAAAATTGTGTGCAGAGGTGTCCAACCTCTGCGTTGTCTTGGTTAGAACTGATAATTGAACACAATGGCTTTGGGAACTGATTCTGTACCTTTGTCCAAGTGATGTTAAACTTTCTACCTCATTATTGACAAAAATTCTGCTAGTACTACAGTGTAGTATAAGAACCAAAGCTGTCAATATTTAACAAACACACTGTACATAGTAATAAATCTTGGGATCAACAACAAACTTCTTGAGTTATGATGTACTTATAGTGTATATTTACACGTGAAATTTGTAGTGACAGCATCATAAATGATAGGGGTGAAAGAGGAATGAGATCCTGAATTGTGCCAGAAGCTTTCACAATTTTATACTGTCTTTCAGCTAGGAAAAACCTTTTGATAGTAAGAACAGAATTCATTCTGGTGTAGATAAAAGATATGTTATGATTTTATGAGTTGTACTGAAGGCATTTGTATCTGATTCTGTATTGTTACAAGAGCTTGCTTGATGAGTGCCTAGTATATACTGTATAATGCCCCTTTCTTGTCTTCCATTTGTTATTCAATGGTGAACTTATTGTCTTCCTGTCATAGACCTTTTTTAAAGAATCCCATTGCATGATGGGAGACATGAGGCACTATGGGTAGCACAGGTGACAAACAGCATCATTTTTGTGACAGACTGGCTTTTTAAGCATCACCAATGTTTTAGATAGTCTTTTTGCTTGTTTATAGTTATTTTTGTGTGTTTGGGAATTATGGAATAAGGCTATGATTTGTGCAATAGTGAAATACTGGATACATTTGGTTTAAGAAAATTTCCTAATTTGGTGTATTTTTTAGAACTTTTAATATATAAAACAACACGGCCATTGTACATAAGATGTAGATAAGAAGATATGAAGTTGTAGTACAATGTAATTCTGTATATGTATAACATCAAGTGTGATGGATTATTACAAAATACATTTTTACTTGTGTCAAATATTGATTGTCTCATATTTGTTCTTTATGGCAGTGCATGGCAAGAATAGGTATATTTGAAAAATTAAATATTTTAGAGTACACACATTCAATGCAACAACAAAAACCATATTTGTCAGCACATAAATCATTACAGTGAAGACACATGCTTGCATGTTTACAACTGCTTTTTGTGCACATCAAAGTAAATCCATACATTAAGCTAAAAATCCTTATTGTATGTGTTTCAAAGTAAATACAAATATAAACTTGCTTCACTTCAAATGATTATGGACTTGCTTCTATCAATATGCACTTAAGGCTTTTTTTCTGATGTACAATGTAGAAGATCATGCCTGATACCTGTGCATGATATTTTGTATAAATATAAGAACAAGCTAGCCCTCACACAGCACACACGATTTGATAAAACTGCAAAATACATATTTGTGATGTTTCCTCAGATGATCCTGGTAGAATTCTCGCCCTTACTGAAGTTTGTCCACCAGGTCAGGTTGGAACGTTGTAGTTTCTGTCCACGCCTGGCGAACATTGGGATCAACCTTCTCTTTCTTTGCCATGGCCCTGAGGTGAGACACAAAAAACATTCATTTCTTATCTTCTTATCAATTTTTTAAAAGAATTTGAACCTAAGGTACATGTAGCAAAAGTATCAAGCATATCAAGCTACATGTATTTTTCTCAAAACTATAACAAACATACATTTTGAGTTTAATCGGTGTAATTAAAAGCTGGTTAAGCCAGAGTTTAATTAGTTAATTCTCTATGAATGCAGCGTATGTACGGACAACATCATTAATGACTTACTTCTTGCAGACAATGATGGCCACGGCAGTGATTACAACACAAGCAACCACTGACAGGGCAGCAAGCAGTTCGACGAAACTGTGCGTGCCCGAGTCTTCATACACGTCAGGAGCGATGGTAGAATGATCCCTCTGCTGTATGGGTGACATCGTCCCGTAGTTGTCAGGCTGGAAGATACTGATGGACACCACGTGACTGTTGCCAAGCGACATCTCTATCTCCGTCTTGATGTGCGTGATGACTCGTTGGAGGACGTCAGCGGGAAGGACGAGCATGTCGGGACCGGGGTAGCTGGCGTACACTCTCACGGCCGCGTGGTCATTGGTTGGAACGTGAGGAACGACTACTGCCACGTGTATGTCTGATGGACCAAACGTAGCTGCATTCGTCTCCCTAGAACGAAGAAAACATTTACCATTAGTTATCACTCAAAACTGCGTTTAAATGTCAGCAATAAAAGAGTCAAAAGTGCAAATGAAATCATGAGTTAAGAATTGTCAGCTATAGGCAAAAAGGCGATCAGCCCAATATACTAGTAACTGACCTGCGGATTCGGAGCCACCCAGATAGAGGGGGACTCTCACACGCACGATACTCCCGCAAATGTTTCATGCAGAAGTTTGTCAGCCCGGTTGCCACAGTCGCTTTCAGCAGTGCTGCCCTTTCTTCTGTAAACTGTGAGAGGCCACAATTTGCAACATCAGAGCTCCAGGACTATCTTTAAACGTCGTCAATATCCATCTATGTTAAACCAATTAGAAGCTACAAAAATTGCAGTGTTGTATGGTGTCAGTGCATCTAACAATACAATTCTACAGGTATTTGTACATAACCAATGATTCTATCGTCTCCATTGTGGACAACATTGGGTGCCAATCGGAAGGCTAGCCTCATCTTGCACCACTCTATTAGCCATCATTAGCTTAACTCCTAGTCACCAAAATTGGAGTCTTAAAACAAAAGTCAAGTCAGGAATACCTCTGACACGTCCATGTCTACTTCCAGCACAACTGAGTTGTCGTCAGCAGACATCTTGACGTCGCAGTTGTAACCTTCCCATCCTGCACTGCACGCGCATGTGTAGTTAGTAGGACCGTCCGTACAGGTGCCGTGAACACAGGGGGCAGACCCACAGTCGTCAATGTCTGTTTAATAAGTGAAAAAAACTTGTACTTGTCAAAACATCAGCTTAGAGTTAGCTGGGAGGCTGGGTTACTGTGGCTGAACATTCCCTACTCCATTTAGACCGGAATGATCTTAATTCAATTACACTTGGAAGGACCCCTGCACTTAGAGACAAGTGTGGTGAGTTCTATTAACATGCTCAGGTTGTAGCTCGTCACAAACATAGGACCTCCATACTATCGATCTGGACAAAGTGTAAGGGTTTGTACTTAACATACCTGGTATGCAGATTCCCTGGTGTCGATTGGTCCCTAGTGCACAGGCGCAGGAATATCGACCGGGCTTGTTGACACAAACCTCGTTCCCCTCACAATCGTGCAGCCACTCTGAGCACTCGTCCACATCTAGGCACACATTAAAGCATTTAGTTCCCTGTCCCATTTTGCAGTGGCACAAGCAATATCATTGTGACAGTCGTAGTATGTATTTACAAATACTAGCACACGACTTACATGTATCTCCAAGCAGAATTCCTGGGGGGCAATGAGAGTCTACTAGCTGCCTGTAACCAGTCTATGGAGGCTAACTGGTTACAGCCAGCCAATAGACTTCCCTTGCCCCCCAGGAGATCTGCTGTCAGATTAGTACAGTTCAACGTGAAAACGTCAGAGCTTTACCTTCGCAGCCCTGCAGCGGGTCGTCAGCCAGCCTGTATCCGTCGAGACAGTCACAGGTGTACGCACCAGGAGTGTTCTTACACACCTGGTCACAGTGATGCGTCCCAGTTGTGCATTCATCTATATCTGTTCACGATAAAAGGTGTCATGTCAACAGTAGTATAGATGTCGTAAGATACCAGACTTGTATCACTGCTACTTGACATAAAACTTTATCACCATGACCTGTACTTAGTTTGTAATGGTATAAAAGTACAATAAAGGTGTTTCATTCGTTTTTGTAAGAATGAGTCAATCTCTCTGTATTCTTTAGCTGCCACTTGAGAACAAATAAAACCATAAAAATATTCCGATAAATTCATGATATATAGTACCAGGCAAGGGTTTTGAACATATGGTATATTATTACCTTGACATGTTGTTTCGTTCCCAACCAGCTCAAATCCTTTGAAGCAGATGCACTGCGCATGCCCAGTCTCGTTTACAGTGCACCAGCTGGTGGACAGGTCACACCCAGGGTTGTTCTCATCTGTACAGTTGTTCTCCGCTATGACGTATGGAATGTTCGGGTAAATATATGCTTTCAATTTGTGTACAACACATTAAACCGATCCTACAGTTATGTGCAACAAAATAAGAGTTTCGAGCGTTCCAGTATGTGTTTGCCGTACACCGGTAAATTTCTCATTCAAATTGACATGTATCTAACAATTATCTAAATCTAATATGAAAGGCATATAGTCTATTTTTTTGTAAGCTTACGTTGACATTGGCCGTCCGGGCTGGACCTGAACCCCACAAAACATCCACAGGTGTACGACCCGTTGGTGTTCTCACACAGCTGCGTGCAGTTGTTGGACAGTGCACACTCGTCCACGTCTGTACATGAATACCCATCCTCGGCTAGCTCGTACCCTTCGTTGCAGTCGCAGGTGAAATTACCAACGTAGTTCACACAGATTTGTTGGCACAACGTTGCAATTGCCTCTTCCAACTCACATTCATCAATGTCTGGGGGGAAAACGGAACGTTTAGTTCTTTTGGTTTATGCTAGGTAGATTGCCTTAGCCTTGGTGATACCAGAGGGAGTTTATCACTTGCATTTTTATAAAGTTCTCACTGGTATAATTATACATGCCAAAGACCTTCTATATGAATATAACACTAGCCATTTTAGAAGGCTCATTTTTCAAAATTTTCCGGGGGAGCATGCCCCCCGACCCCCCAAGGAACCTCGCACCTTCGGCGCTCGAGGTCCCCTCAAGCAGTGGGAAGAACCCCCATACAAAATCCTGGCTACGGGCATGTGCTGGTGCAGCCGAACACTAGGCAACCACAGCCAACCTTGCTCCAAAGTCTCAACCGTGGTTGGGGGAGTTCAGCTATTTTAGTGTGACACTGACAGGGCCTTTAGACTTCTTACCTTGGCAAGACGTCCCATTGCCTTCGTACCCCAGGGGACAGTCTCCACACGTGAAGCCGTCCTCCATGTCGGCAGGTGGCGGGAGATCCGTACAGGTGACTCCTGGGAAACATGGGTCAAAGTTCTCCGCACATGCATCGATGTCGCTTTCGCACTGTTCTCCAGTGTACCCTTCCGCGCACAGGCATTTCTGGATGACGAGCCTGTAAGGAAAAAAATGTTTTAGGTAGATCACAAACAAATAAACAAACATAGCTGATTTCTTTAATGAAATATACCTGATATTTACAAAACTCGGTCAACTCGGTCAACTCGATCAACTCGGTCAACTAGGTCAACTCGGTCAACTCGGTCCACTACCCTGGTCAACTCGATCAACTCGGTCCACTACCCTGGTCAACTCGGTCAACTCGGTCAACTCGATCACTCGGTAAACTCGGTCCACTACCCTGGTCAACTCGATCAACTCGGTCCACTACCCTGGTCAACTCGGTCAACTCGGTCAACTCGGTCAACTCGATCCACTACCCTGGTCAACTCGGGTCAACTCGGTCCTCTACCCTGGTCAACTCGGTCAACTCGGTCAACTCGGTCCACTACCCTGGTCAACTCGGTCAACTCGGTCCACTACCCTGGTCAACTCGGTCAACTCGGTCAACTCGATCACTCGGTCAACTCGGTCCACTACCCTGGTCAACTCGGTCCACTACCCTGGTCAACTCGGTCAACTCGGTCAACTCGGTCAACTCGGTCAACTCGGTCCACTACCCTGGTCAACTCGGTCAACTCGGTCAACTCGGTCAACTCGGTCAACTCGGTCAACTCGGTCAACTCGGTCAACTCGGTCAACTCGGTCCACTACCCTGGTCAACTCGGTCAACTCGGTCTACTCGGTCAACTCGATCAACTCGGTCAACTCGGTCAACTCGGTCAACTCGGTCAACTCGGTCAACTCGGTCACTACCCTGGTCAACTCGGTCAACTCGGCCAACTCGGTCAACTCGGTCAACTCGGTCAACTCGGTCAACTCGGTCCACTACCCTGGTCAACTCGGTCAACTCGGTCAACTCGGTCCACTACCCTGGTCAACTCGATCAACTCGGTCCACTACCCTGGTCAACTCGGTCAACTCGGTCAACTCGGTCAACTCGATTAACTCGGTCAACTCGGTCAACTCGGTCCACTACCCTGGTCAACTCGGTCAACTCGGTCAACTCGGTCAACTCGGTCCACTACCCTGGTCAACTCGGTCAACTCGGTCAACTCGGTCAACTCGGTCCACTACCCTGGTCAACTCGGTCAACTCGGTCAACTCGGTCAACTCGGTCCACTACCTGTCAACTCGGTCAACTCGGTCAACTCGGTCAACTCGATTAACTCGGTCCACTACCCTGGTCAACTCGGTCAACTCGGTCAACTCGATCAACTCGGTCAACTCGGTCCACTACCCTGGTCAACTGTTTACATTGCTCTTTCAGTCTCAAGCTTTTTAACACGACTTCATCTCAATGCAAAGGGCTTTACCTGTCATCGTACCCCACAAGTGACGGATCTAGATCGTGGCTGGCGTTACAGCGGCCGCCATTCATACAGGAGCACAGGAACAGCACGGGCCGGTATTCAGTCGAGCTGTTCTTGGAATTTATCGCCGTCACCTGCCAGAAGTCATAATCACACACACAGTTGTTATACCTTCATGTTTTAACTGACTGATACTTTGGAACTGCAGGGGCGTTTTCTTGGAAACTTAAGACATGGTACTTTAACATCACTCTCAGATCATTAAGGAGAAGTTCAGGAGACAAGGCAATGTGGATGTCAGAGGTTGAATCATGACTTATATAAAAGATAACTTGTTACCTGGAGATGGAACATCATGTTTTCCGTGACGTTCCAAGTCACTTTTGCATAGTTGCCATTGGCAATCATGACGACCTCTGGTGGTACATCAGGTCCCATCTCAAACGTGATCGGGAGATCCTGAGGGTCTGTAGCATTCAGCTCTATCACTACTGTCTCTCCAACCGACAGGTACACAGCACCTGGCCCAGATATCAGCGGCGGGAAACTTTCTGTATTGATAGATAGCATGATACAATGTGTTGTGAAATGTGAATGTTTGATAAGCACACCTGCTCCTTGATTTTACCTGCTCCTGGCACTACACAATATGGGTTTAAGTCCATAAAACAGAACGAACAAGATGTTTTACCTTCTGTTTGGCTTCGAATTCTTTCAAGACAACCTCTATTTTTGCCATTGAAATAGATGTTACATACGTTAGCCATTTGACATGTGATACTAGTGACTGGAGGATGAGTGAATAGATAAATGTAGAAGACACATCATACACATTTTGACATCAGGTCTTACCTCTTCCCGCTACCTCGTCTTCGAAAGTCTGCAAGGCTGCCAGTGAGACCTCGCCGACCTGCACGTCGCCGGTGTGACTAACGTCGAACAGACAGGTCCTGTCGTCTCCACACACAGCCCGCGCCTGTTGCTCCAGCTCGGCGCTGGCAAACACGATCTCGTCGGTGAAGGCAGGCTCGTAGGACGCCTGGGTGAAGTTTTCAGGACCTTCGCCGGTAGCGTAGTAGAAAAGAGACTTCTTGGGTCCATCTTCGTCCGTCACTTGCCCTATTCATATATATGATACAGGTATAAAATTAGCTTTCCCATTTCTGTACTATAGATACATAATATCTACTTCCCCAATCATTGGACTGAAATTCCTGAATAAAGTACACTACACTGCTTTCTCTCCTTACGTAGCACTCAGCACTTGAGGAAGAGTATGATAGTTGGTAGTTGACCACACACCACTTCCAGTGGACTAGAGAGTCGACCCCTCTTGTCGTGTTTGCTATAGAAAAATTGACGCCACCGTATTTTTGGCGCCATCCTATACAACTACAACATATGGTATGTCATCTGGGAAAGACTGAAGTTGAATTAAGTTAAACTTAGTTTATAGAGCATGGTATTGAACACTTACACGACTGCCCAAATATCTCATACAGCTGTCTCTCTGAGGCGTTGGGAGAAAGAGTCGTTCCATCGAAAGCCTCGAAGTCGTTCGTCTTGTCCCCGTCCCATCTTCCCAGCAGACCTTGCGTTCTGTTCATGTACTCGGGCGGTGCAGAGAATTCCACAAACAACATTGCCTGTGGAAGGACACAACGGTACAGATGGATGTTTATAGAAGTGCGTACTTGCCAATGGTAGTACATTGATACGTATAATTATACGTTTCTTCATATGTTTTGCACGGGAAAACATAAGCCTATATTGTCATGACTAGTCATGACAGTAAAGTCTAAACGTTCAATGCAAGAAAAAATAGCTGTCGTAGTTATCATACAACGTGAAGAAAATGGTTGCCAGAACTTCTGTGTTGTCCCAAAGGTCAAATAATTGGACTAAGGGATAAGAGAGTCAGCGTACCTTTGCTGCGTTGATTTTTGCAGTAATCCCGTTGAAGAAGACGACCAGAAGCGTGTTTTCCTCAGGACTGCTGACCACAGCGCTGTCATCCACTTCCAGTTCGAACCCGCTGTCGTCGAAGGCCGCCATGTTGACGTCAGTTCCGTTAATGTGGAGCTGCAGACCCGACGTTCCCACCAGGTTGATCTGAATCGGTACGCGGTTACGCTCGGCGGCCACGATGGCGGTGAACACGGTGGCACGCCTGCTTCCTGCATGGGTAAGGAGACTTTTTTACCTATCAGTGTGAAATTTCATTAGCTACAATGTGCTCCAATAGCCCCCCTGAATGACCTATCACGTTTACTACGTGACGTAACGAGCACATGACGTCAGGAATAGACTATTGGTCAAAGGTGCCAATTTAAAACCTATTTAATTTAATTTTAAACCTATTCAGTCTTTAGTCTCCCTTCTGTCTTTATTCTTTTGATCTTTTGAAAAATAACATTGCAGAAACACACAATACATTTATGTATAGAATGGGATGGTCCCACTTACCTTCCACGAATGACGTCCGCCCTTGTATTTGATATTCTCCCCTTCCGAAGTCCCCCAGGACGTATTCTCCCAGCCCGTTGAATGTGTAGGCTGTTCCATCCAGTGTCATGACGTGCGGATCACTCCGCACTACCGTCCAGCCTTACATCATACGGATGTGGGGAAAGAGGTGACAAGTTCAAACCTAGAAAACTAATGGCTGATATCTGTATGTGGATTCAAAGGCATCAAACAAAATGTTATAGAGATGGCACAAAGAAAGAAAGATATACTTCAGATTTTGCAAAATAAATTCTTTACCTATGTGTACAGGATAACTAGAGCAAGGGCTCCCCGATTGATCTGGAACGGAGAATGGACGGAGACGTCCGAACTGTCGGCAGTACCATCCCATTCGCACGCCCGCAGACTCCGCACAGCACTTCCGGCGGGCCAAGTTGTCGTCAGCAGGAGGATTATCCTGTCAGGAAATAGAACTGGATATTAGTATTTGCTTTGATTTACTCCCAAGTACAAACTTTAAGGTTCTGCGCTACTCCTTTTCCTTCTACATAATTTGCCATAGATCGGTTGTGGGCTTTTTAGATCGGACGACATCTTTAAACCGTGAGCTGCTGCAGTTAATTTTGTAAAGCAGTGGCTAAGCAGCTACCAATGACGCCAGAAGAAGAAGAAATGTAGAATTGTGCCTCACTCAACATTCAAACAATTACGGCTATGATAATACCAATACATGAGATATCACCAGACTATGTGTACGTACAATTATAAGGTGGCCACCAGCTGGTCCTCGCATAAGACTTCCTCCTGCGACCCTTCTTCTCCAGGCCCACCACCCCCACCATTGCGTCCAGAACCACGAGGCTGTGTAGCAGCAGGTTCGGCGGAACTCGTGTCTGCGTCCACCGTTGTACACCACCAGTAGTGGCAAGATATTGGACCCAGTAGAGCATGGGGCATTTCAAAACCTAACAGAAAATCTAACAGGCTGCAAAAAAGGATTAGGTGGATCAGGGGTGACAACCTACACAGATTGAAGGAGGGTTAACATCCTATAGAAAGACAATTTAGGTGGATCATTAAGAGGAGGTAATCACCTAGGGAATTAATCAAACTGCTGTAGAAGAGTATGCTTTATATCTCCCTTGGGCATAAAATCAATTCAGGTGAATATTGACCTTATCTCAAGTAAAATGCAAAATATCGTAATTGATCATAGCACTAGGCTTTCCCTTGGGAATTGAAAAATGTTAACTACACGAAGGGGTGTGACCATCTCAATCACACAACATAAGGGGTGAGGCCATGGCATCATGGCCTCGCACTCCTACCGCAGGCGTCAGACATCTAATAACATCTCCTAATTTGAGAAGGGTGACATGAAATCCCCGAGGTTGGGCGGGCATGTTCTAAATCCAAGTATTCTAAGTGCTCTATCTATTACCTAACATCTAACAGCATTAAAAGCACACAACACCTGTTTGTAATTGCAGTTCCAGGAAATGTAGACAGGTGGCGCAAATGTCAGCCTCTGTCTTCCCAACTGAAGGCACACACTGAGGATAAAATGACATGCATCTTGAGCTCTTGTCTAACATTTAACACCATTAAAAGCATCACATGTGGCTATCTCAGGGATCATTGCAATGTTACATTATCTTGTTTGGTTCCTAACAGAAAACTAACACAGACACTGTGAAAAAGCAGGACACACATTCTGAACCACCGTCTAACATATAACACTATTAAGCGCACCACATGTGGTTATCTGCATGTGGTTACCCCAGGGATCATTGCAATGTTACATTATCTTGTTAGGTTCCTAACAGAAAACTAACACAGACACTCGTGAAAAAGCAGGACGACACATTCTGAACCACCGTCTAACATATAACACTATTAAGCGCACCACATGTGGTTATCTGCATGTGGTTACCCCAGGGATCATTGCAATGTTACATTATCTTGTTAGGTTCCTAACAGAAAACTAACACAGACACTGTGAAAAAGCAGGACACACATTCTGAACCACTGTCTAACATATAACACCATGGTCCATTAAGCGCACCACATGTGGTTATCTGCCTTTGGTATCTCATGCATCCTGCCTCTAATTAAGAACAGCACGGGCTACCCTAGTAGGGCTACCCATGCATTGCAAGCACTGTTAGATTCCAATCTCCAAGCAGAGGTTGGTGGGAAAGAAAAGTGATAGCAAGGACATTATACACAGATGTCCTTGGTGATAAGAAACACTTTTTTCTTTCTTTCTTCACGGGTCACCACTGCTGCACTCTTCTCCTCCAAGACTCCTCTGGGGGTCAGCACTTCTGTAATAGGGTGCTCTGACCTGATATGTTATAGTTTTTGCTATATATATAATATTAGTTTCTGTTACACTTTTGTACAAATTCCTGGTGCAACCGTGAGTCATTGTAACCCTCCTGTCTTCTGAGAAAGTGTAGGCGACCTTTGAGTGACACCAGTAATGGCCTAACCTCCCATGGGGTCTAAGCCCGACTGCTTGACCATAACCATATTTGGGGATACAAGGGGCTGACCAGTAACGTCTTAAGAAAGGGAGAGGATATGACTCACGATGACTGATATACAAAGAATCCAACTTGTTCCAAGAAACCTGTAAGTAGGCGGGTAAGAGTATAAAAACCCATGTAACCCTGTAGTCAAGGCAGTCAGTATCGGAGAGAGTATCAGAAGAGAGTATCGGAAAGAGAGAGAATACAGTCACGTCACTATGTAGCTCTGGCTCCTGTGTCATTTGTTCCGGGTACGTACATCTACAACATCGGCGGCCATCTTACGAACTTGTAAGGGTCACCCATCGAGACCGAGGTCACTAAGCTACCGTGTCTTCGTCTTTGACCTTGACCACACCCTTACACTTCCAGGTCCTCCGTGGTGCAGGTTTTAGGCAGGAAACACTGGTAACACTTAGAGTTAGTATAATCTCCTTGGTATAATAAGAAGATTTCAAATTTTTGTGTAAAAAGCTACCTAGTGTCCCTTAGTGATAGCAAGGTGGTTAACCTCCTTGGTGATAGTGATAGTCAAGTTTATTGCGCAACAATTGCATTTGATACAATTTGAAAGCCAGCAAGGAATTATATGTAGTACTGAGCGTTGGAGGAATGACTTTACGGAATACCTATTTGCGGAGAGGATGTAGGACTCGGGAGCTATAATAGGTTTGGTAACCAGGCTAGAGCTCTTGCAGCCCCGACCACGAATCAGACTGGATACCAGGCTCCGGTGGCACGTGCCCCCAACTCACTCAGTTGGTAAGTGACATCTCACGGTGACTTGTTTCAGAAACATTACAGCGCCCACCAAACAGTTTACTTCATGGAGTTTTAAAAAAAAATCAGGAAAAAAAAGGTAAAGAATGTAAGGAAAATATTATCATTGCTGGCCTAGGGGTCGGCACAGGATCTCGAGCAAAACTTGTAGCCACAGCTAATCTCCAAGCACTTCTTTTGGTGGGGGTAAGACAGTAACAAATTGGCCAGTCTGTAACCATTTCCCCACCCAAATGGTTACAGACTGGCCAATTTGATACTGTCTTACCCCCACCAAAAGAAGTGCTTGGAGATTAGCCACAGCCCCAACATGCTCTTTGTATTGTGAACCAGCGAAAGCCACTTCTAGCTACTGTGTATTTCTCACGCTTTGGACAGACCAAAGCCGCCCACAGTGAAAGCCGCCATTGTAACAAAATGATGCATGTAATTTCCACCAAGATGTCTATGATGCGGAAGTCTATGTAACAATATTTACTATAATGATAACCTCACCTCAAAGCATCGGCCAAACCTACATGTAGTTGTATCCGAGTACCTTGATGCTCTTGTTCTTATTGTTGTTCTGATTTTCTTTACTGCTATTGTGCCGATTCAAATTAAAGGCAGTACACACACGCACACAAGTGGAGTCGTACGCGTGGGGTCGTGTGGCGCAGTCGGTAGGCTCACACCTGAGAGGTCGCGGGTTCGAACCCTGCCCATGTCACCGATCTTGTGCCCTTGGGAAAGGCACTTTACACGACTTTCCTCACTTCACTCAGGTGGAGATGAGTACCTAGCTTCGGCTAGGGACGTCCCTCGGATAGGACGTTAAATGGAGGCCCCGTGTTTGGGAGAGCACCCCACGCACGTTAAAGCCCCCACCGCACTTATCGAAAAGAGTAGAGGACATTCCCGGTGTGAGTGGTTCAAACCTTACAGTCTGGTCTCGGGATTGACATTTTTGAAGAGGTGATAGTCACCTGTTATGTCAATCCTTCCACAAATGTGGTAAATCGTCATAAAATAAAATAAAACAAGGATATCGGGTGTCACTTTACGTGTAGCAAAAGAGTCATAAGAACACAGGGAATGTGTAGTGCTGTATTTAATAAAGAAACGTGTTACGGTCTGAAAAGTATCAATTTCTGCCACGCCGTGGCTATATACACTCCCGGTGTGTATATAAAAGACAAATAGATTTTATATACACTCCGAAATACTAGCCTCCTTGGTAGGCCCAAAACTTGGGTTTTGTGAGTGTTTGAGGATTCAGGGGGCACCAAGTTTAAACCTCGGTC